CAAAGGCTGATGAAAAATATTAAAAATCCTTAGTCACAATTTTTTTTATAAGCATTTAAAGTTCAATAATTGACAAAATATGGAAAAATCTCGAAAATTAGCAAATTATTTTGAGTTAAGAATTCGTAAAAATTGTTCTTTTTAAATCTAAGATTTGAAAATGTAATACAAGATTCCTTATAAGATTATCTACCTGACTACCTCTATCAAAAAAAAAAATGTCTATAAGAAATTCAAATTAAATTTTTATGAGCGTTTGAAATTCAAATTTTTACAACATTTTATATTCACTCGATTTCTCATGTAGCGATTTCCTTATTTTGTTGTAATTCAAAAACGAATAACCGTAGATACATGAAAATTTAACTGAATGTTTATATTAGCATTTCCTATACACAGTAAAATTTTGAAAATATTTTAATTCTTTTTGAGCTGTTTACGGACATTTTCAGTTTTCAATTTTTTTAGTTTTTTTTTCTATAAATATCAATAAAGTTTTATCTATTTTGACAAAAAGTGTAAAAATTTAATACAAGGCTCCTGATATATTGTTACAATAGCAATTGAAAAATATTAAAAATACATGGGCACAACTTTTTTTTATAAGCATTTAAAGATCGCATTTTGACAAAATTTATCAAAATTAATCGAAAATTATCAAACATTGTAATTAATAAATTATAAAATGTTCATTTTTTATAGCTAAGGATTACAAATTTATAACAAAGGTTCTCATAAATAGTTCATACTGTAACCAAAAAATTTAAAAAATATATGAACAAAGTTATTTTTTACAGACATTTTAAATTCAAATTTGGATGAATTACATACCTAATAAAAAACATAGAATAACTCTTTTAGTTTTTTTTTTGTGATTGTATAATATTATTTGTAGGTACTTGAAACTTCTAAAGTTTACTACTATATATCTATGATAGTATTAGGGTATGTTGTTGGTGTATAACGCGTTATTATATTGTGCATTATTATATTATATTGTGATATGATTAATTTGGAATTGATTATAGGTCAATTTTTTTTAATACCATAGATAAGTATATAATATGTCTTATACCTAGAAGGACATACTATCTATATTCTATGGACATACCGTCTCCGCTCAGAATCGTTTTTCTTATACAATGATATAATATCATTGAATTCAAATGTAATACCATCCATTATACAGTAATCCACTTGTAACCTACTGTACAGCAGAGCGACACCCACTTGCCCACCTTTTTATGAATAATCCTCCCATAATATCATTGAATAGGTATATTTTCATTGCATTATCGTAATGATTAAACACTTAATTAATTTTGATATTAATATAAATAATAATAATAATATGTACATTACTAGGTATTTTATCACATAAAATTTAAATTTGAGAAAAACAATATTATCAAAACAATGAAATTTAAATATTTAAATATAATTAATACTTTAATAACAGTATGATATTACTGTAATTATATATACAATTATGATATATAATTTTAGATTCCGAGAGGAGTGATGAATGTATTGATTTTACAATGATGTGTGTGTGTTTTTTTTTAAATTTTTTGTCTTTGTATAACGGTATATAGTCGAATATCAAATAACCCTTCATATCATAAGATTTGAAAATGTAATGCAAGATTCCTTATCTACCTTTATCAAAATAAAAAAATGTCTACAAAAAAGTCAGACTAAATTTTTATGAGCGTGTAAAGTTCAAATTTTTACAACATTAGATATTCACTCGATTTCGCAAGTAGTTTTCTTATTTTATAGACTCTTGAAATTTATATCATATTTATATTTTATCAATTCATATACTTGAACAAAATTGATGAATCGAGCGACTTGATGACACTCAGGAAGGTATTTGGAACAAGTCTGTGAAAAAAAATTGGAAAAATATTAAACAGTGTCGTCAGAAAATTGGAACAATAAAAATACAATCCCACAAATCCTCAAAATTTCAGACAAATCGGTCCAGTAGTTTTCTTGGTTAGCGTGGTCGTAGAAAACCACTTACAATTTTATATAGTAGTATAGATAAGTTTTTATTAGCTTCCAAGTTCAAACCAAAAGTTATAATGTCTCGACAATTAATTGGATGTCTTAAACGATGATATATCATTAGATTACATTAAGATTTAAGTAAATAAATTAAATATCATAGATCATAAGAATTAACAGGACATTTAAAACACTTATTATTATATTAAATACGTTTAATTTATAATACAATAGCCGATAATAATTAAGTCTCACATACGACAGACATATTATGTGTGAGTGATACCGCAATCGACGGTTTGATTATAAATTATAATGATAGGTGGCATCTCATACGTCATATACTCATATACCTATAATAAAAACCTACACGATACATAAAATCTCACCCAGTCGCTTCAGCAGTTTCGATTGTATGTTATTGTAAATGCAAGTTTTTTCTTAAATCATAAATAAATTTAATAAAAACCTTGTACAATATTTCAGTGTATCTCTTCTATTTCACTAATTCTTTAACAGAACAAATTAAATCAATATCCATAAAAATAAAATAATTGAAGACAGTTCCAAATTGTGAATTCTAAAAAGGTGGGCAAGTGGGTGTCACTCTGCTGTACAGAAGGTTACTAGTGGGTTACTGTAATGGATGGTGTTAAATTTGAATTCAATAATATAATATCATTGTGTAAGAAAAACGATTCTGAGCGAAAACGGTCAGTCAGCCTATGATATTACTAAGTATATTTGATGGTAGGTATACTATATTGTGAATAGAGTAATTTATATATTATAACCTATTTACGTGGAACCTTGTTTAAATTCTCAATCCTTAGCTATACAATTTGCTAAATTTTGTCAAAATTCGAACTTTAAATCCTTAAAAAAAATTATGTCTATCTATTTTAATATTTTTAAACTGCTATTGTAACAATATATCAAGAGCCTTGAATTAAATTTTCAAGCTTTTTTACCCAACGAATACAATTTTATTGATATTTATAGAAAAAAAAACTAAAAAAATTTAAAACTGACCATGTCTGTAAACACCACAAAAAGAGTCAACATTTTTTATATAGCATATAAAAATATAAACATTCCGTAAAATGTTCGGGTATATGTCAATTGCGCCAGAAATCACAGGTAAGGAAAAAAAAATTATGGGATTCAAAAAGGTTATACATCAACTGCGCCGGACGATATTTAGGTCCAAAAAAGATTATACATTAATTGCTCCGGCAATACTGAAGTTGAAAAATAAGCTGATTACACACCAGGCGATTTGAACGTACTCGTCTGCGTTTATATTACACACGGACGATTTAAAATCGCGACGTTTTAAACTGTACATACTATACGTTATCTATCTACATGCAATAAATTGGTCAAATCGGAATATCCCTAATAAAAATGAGATGAGGTAATAATATTATATTATGGAAGTAATAACTAACAAGTTATTTTTCTTTTTTCCAAATGATCAGTATCGTGTCGTCGTTCGTATAAATTCGTTTAGGTGAAATAGTCTATAGCAATAGCAATTTCGTATAATATTATAATGGAAGTAATTTTGAGTGAACGTGGGAAAGAACTAATTCTTTATGAAAATTATAAATTTTCATGTAAAAATCTTACTAAAAATGGACGTAAGTGGCGGTGTACAGAAAAAAACTTGTAACGCTAAATTGTATGTTGACGATGTTAAAACTACAATATTAAAAGAAGAAACTGAACTCTGAACACAATCATTTCCCTCCTAAAAACGTTCAACGACAAATTATATCAAATCAAGTTAAAAGAAAAGCTATGGATGATTTAATAGAAAAGCCGTTAAAATTAATTAACAAACAAATATTTACTGAAAAATCAACAAATGATCTCAAAATTGATGACATCTCTACATTTTTATGATTTAATTTTATGCAATTTTTATATTTTTTAAATTACACTTTATTTTATATGTTTGATAATTATATTATAATCTAATAACAGTAAAATAATATGATATTTTATAATATCTTCCTGGCACAATAGATATATATATTATGTATACCAAATTAATTTGTGATAAATTTATTGGCGCAAAAGACGTATACCTTCTTCGTTTGGGATAAATCCACCGGCGCAAAAGATGTATAAATTACAGGTAGTCTAGAAAAATCGACGCAATTAACAAACACCGAAATGTTCATGTATCTACTGTTATTCGTTTTTGAATAACAATAAAAAAACAAAACTGCTATTTACAAGAGAAATCGAGTGAATATCTAATATTGTAAAAAGATGAACTTCAAACGCGCATAAAAATTTAATTTGATTTTCTTGTAGTCATTTTTTTTGTTGATAAAGGTAGACAAACTTATGAATAATCTTGTATTACATTTTCAGATCTAAGATTTAAAAAAAAAATTTTTATGAATTCTCAACTCAAAATAATTTGTTAATTTTCGTTATTTTTTGGTATTTTGTCAAGAATTTAACTTTAAATGCGTATAATAATAAATTGTGGCTATGGATTTTTAATATTTTTTAAATGCCATTGTAACATTATATTAGGAACTTCCTATTAAATTGAGAAGGTTATTTTCCCAACAAATAATATTTTATTGATATTCATAGAAAAAAAACTACATTTTTCAACGGAGTTGCTGAATGATAATAATGAGTATTGAATATACAAAAAATAATCAGTAAACCACTGTCTAAATAGGGTTATAAGATGCAACCATTTGAAAATTTTAACATTTGATAAGAGACTGTGCAAATTTAGGTTAATTTATTTGAATTTAATTGTATTATTATTAGTTTGTGCATAAAGATTAAACACACACAATTTATACTTCATTGTTATTTATAATAATTGCATATTATATAGGTAGTGATTAATATTGAAATTGTAAATTATTATTTACTCTGACATTAATACCTATACATAATTAAATATTATTTCTCTATATTTTTAGATTCAAGCGGTGCTAAATAATTGAACCATGCAGAAACTTATAAAAATTATAAATAAATTGCAAGATGTTTTTGCAGTAGTTGATGGACTGCAAATGGTTGATTTACCACAAATTGTGGTTGTGGGAACACAGAGTTCAGGTAAAAGTTCTGTGCTAGAAAGCATCGTGGGAAAATCATTTCTACCTCGAGGAACTGGTATTGTTACCAGGACTCCCTTAGTTATACAAATGATTAAGTACACAGAGGAAACAAGAAAATCAATGTTAAAGTCAAATAACATTAAAGACACTGAAAACATTAAAGAATGGGTAGAGTTTCTACATAAACCGAATTTATATTATGTCGATTTTGATTTGGTACGCAAGGAAATTGAAGATAAAACAAATAGTCTTGCAGGAACTAATAAGGGCATAACTAACAAGCAAATTGTATTAAGAATTCACACCAATCGTTATGATCTGACTTTTGTAGATTTACCAGGTATAACAAAAGTGGCGGTTGGAGACCAAGATGATGATATAGATGAACAAATACAGAAATTGATTCTTTCATATGTAAAGCAATCCAACTCAATAATTTTAGCAGTGGTGACTGCAAATACAGACCCGTCAACTAGTGAAAGCCTGCAAATAGCGAAAAAATTGGATCCACATGGCATCAGGACAATAGCAGTAGTTACAAAATTAGACCTAATCGATAAAGGAACACTTCAAGACACTAAAGATTTACTGTGTGGTCACAAGATTCCAGTGAAGATTCTAGATGTCATAGGTGTGGTGAATAGAAGTCAAAAAGACATCGTTGAAAATAAATCAATGGACTCGGCGCTATCGGCAGAAACAGAATTTCTAAAAATTAATTACCCAGATATATATAAAAAACACGGCAACAAGGCGTTAGTTCACACGTTACAGATCGTATTGATAACACACATCAAAAAAGTATACCCACAACTTCGAGCAGAACTCGAAGAAATGAAAAGGAAATTGGAAAAACAACATTTGCCACTATACAAACCTGATGAAGAAATATCGTTTTTAGTAGGACTTTTAAAAGATATTAGCAGATCGTACGAAGATACTATGCTTGGTAATCAAGACGATGTTTCAATTGATGAAACTATTGGTGGTGGCAGTATTGCTCGAACATTCCAACATGAATATTTAAAGAGAATAAACGTCATAGACCCCCTTCAAGATTTATCAGATGAAAATATTGCAAATATTTTATCAAACACATCGGGCATTTACCAATTACTTTTGTCAATGAAAAGGGATTACAAAAAATATTAAGACGGCAATTAAATTACTTAATTGAGCCGTCGTTGGACTGCGTAGCATTGGTGAGCAGTGATATGTTAAAAGTTTTGAATTCCATTGACGTCAATTTGTTGGACACACTTAGGCGGTATTCAAAGCTCTATGAAGATGTAAGTGAAGCCTGAATTATAGGATTTTTTATTTATTATTGGAAAGTGTTTGTGAGTGCATGATTTTTGGGTATACCAAATAGCCAATATTGTAAGAGGTTTTACGCTTTTTTTATGTAATTCAATTTTAATTCGATCATTTAAAACCGTACGTATTTGATTAACAATTAAAAGTTTATTGGTACTAAATAAATTGTGGTGTCAAGATCTCCTGAATCCCGACTGCACTTAAAAATAATAAAACTCCCTACCCCAAGTTAGAGGGTATCCACACTGGTGGGCCTCCCTCCTCACGCCATTCATGTTTTGTACCATCAATTTTTTGATATCAAATTACTTATTGTTGTATATAAATATTACAGATTGTAAATACTCTATTTTTATCTAATTTAATAAAAAAAAAAAAAATAAAAACATTGTAGTAAAAATAATGTAAATCAAATTTAAACATTTATGATAATAAATAAATCATAATACAATTAATTTAATATATAATTTTAGTACTAACTATAGTATACTATACTATAATAACTATAGTATTAGTATAGTATATTATAATACTATACTATACTAATACTATAATACTATACTATAATATACAGCGGTATTAACTAAAAATTATTTTCTCCATAATCAATTTAATATACCTAATATAATAAGAAAAAAATAAATTGTTTAATGAAAAAAAAGATATGTTTAGATTTGAATAAATTTGCAACCTATATTGTTTTCAAATATTCTAACAAAGTTATTTCATTGCTTATGAAACTTTAATTTAAATGTATAAAGAATGGTTTTCTTTATCAATACATACTCTAAGTGTACGTTTAACGTTCCATTTTCTTATAAGTTGAAGTTGATGTTTAGTTTCTATAATTATATGCTGTTGTTTTACCACATCTATCTGACGAAAAAATTCTCAAAATATATTTACTATTTTAAGAACGATACATAGTAGGATGTGTAAAATAAAATGCATGCCTAAATTGACTATGGTAACTTTCTGCGCTGTCTGTATTCTTGTACCTTCATCCAGCTCTTCTGCCCTCAATATCGCGGTGAAAAATTATTGGTCACAATATATGTGTTAAACATAATATAATATAATAATATACAACATAATATAATCAGCAAAATCAGTATTATATGTAATATTTTGACACTTTGTAGTGCATAAAAATCCACACCCTACACATAAGTTTTTTTTTCATAGTAATAATTACTGTGAAGGTAGGACGTCAAATAATACAGTTGGTAGCCATTCCTGAAACATAAGATATTTCACGCCTGGTATTTAATTGAGTAATTAAATAATAATTTTATGATTTTAGGTACGAAAAGTGTTTGAAAAGTTGCTGGAAGAAAATGTGAATAATATCAAAGAATTTATTACATCATACATAGAATCGTATCAGGAGTGTATAAATACAGCAAATCCAGATTTTATCTCGGAAATATTAAAGTCCGACGATACGATTCAAGAAGAAATTCTCGCAGCTGTAAACATAAAGAAGCACGAAAGTGATTATAAACCAGAGCTAGTCTTGAACCCAACCGGGAGGCCGATTTTTCGGATACCCGATAGAATGGCCCAAACCAATAGATTAAAAACCGTTAGAACTCATATGTTGAAACAATTATTATCCGGTCTGAATAACCAGGATATTCCCCTGGAATCGTCTGAACAAATAAAATTACACAAATATTTAAGTCAATGTTATTTTGAGTACATCAGGAAAATCGTGAGGGACTTTGTTCCTAAAAGAGTTGTTCACAAAATGGTGAATTCGTTTTTAAAAAACCTCGATAAACGTTTAAACGAAGAAATATTTCAAACTTATTTAAAAGAAAATAAAATTGGTGAAGTACTTATAGAAGATGAAAGTATCATAAATGATAGAAAAGATGTTGAAATCAAGTTGGATGCTGTTGGAAAAGCATTGAAAACTATAGTTGATATTCGAAATTGTTAATTCCGAGTGCAATAACTGCAGTAATATCGTTTTTCAATTTTTATTTTTATTTTTTGGAATTTCTAATGTGTATGCTAAATGCTTGGATATATACAAGGTGATTTTTTTATCATTGAACACTCATTATTTCATAAAGTATTAATGTTAAAGAAAATATTTTTTTACACAGTTTCAAGTTGTTAAAAAACAATATTTTTTTTAAAAAATTATATTTTTAAATATTTTTTATCCTTTTAATTTTTTAAGTTTTTTACTTTTAATTTTAATTTGATATTCAAAAACAGAATATTTTTCTGATTATTTTAATACATAAAAATTTAATTTAGGGCATGTAGTTTATAAGTTATAAGTATTTAAAGTTTAGATGAGCGGAGTAGTGGACAAACATTTCGCGGGGTAACCCCGTACCACTCTACTCCGCTCATCTAAACTTTAAATACTTATAACTCATAAACTATTAGCCCTAAATTCAATTTTTATATAATTGTATATAATTGTCATGTGCTAGTTTTTAGATACAAAGAGTAGGTATCACAACATGAAATATGTTGGTCTATATAACGTTCATTTAAAATCAACATACATTTTCTTAACTTACTAGTTAATAGTAATTAATATTAAAATATAGGTAATAAAATAGATCTGGTCTATTGAAATATATTTTGTCGTATAGTCTCGACTGTCCAGTCAAAACATATTATATAACCTTCAATGTCTTACATTAAAAATACACATTCACAAATAAATGTTTCAATTTATTTTATAATTTAATATCAAATTGTCTGTACATTTTTATTTATTCAAGGTTTTTTAAAAGTTTTAATTCTTTAAATTGTTTTTTGTTAAATTATAAAAATATATTTTAAAATGTGTTATTACTTATTGTTATTCGCTAATCGATACAAAAAATGCCGACCGTGAACCAAGGTTTGAACCAGCTCCGGTATGCGTCACAACCGTTAAAAATTATTATTCAGCTGATATTATAGGTATTGTTTTAAAATACATATTATATATAAATAAATATATTTAAAATTGTGTTATTATAATATTGGCTTATCGATACAAAAAATTGTATTTATCGCATCATGTGTTCTCAAACTAGTTTTAAATTTTAATAATACTTAGTATTGATACCTAATTTTATATATACAAAAAATAACAAATGCGTTATGCAACAGTGTCATTGTAGGTTCCTTTCAATATTTTTCTCTTGTATTACAGAGACGTTCTTCAATTATCAATCAGTCTAAAATTCGATACTCAGCACTCAGCAGTTAGTAACGTTTATGGTAAGTATAGTATACACTATACAGATACCTTTTCATTGACAAAACAAACTATAACCAATAAAAATATACCAACACAATATTAGTATCAATATAGGTAAGTTATAATATTTTATGAAATATATAAGTAAATAATGGCTAGTTATATTATTCGGAAAATCTCATAATAATTAATATATAAGCTATTTGTTTTTAGCAAAAAAAAGTTCTACCTACAGTATTAACTCATAGAACAATAAACTACTAATATAAAATATAAATGTAAAATAAGATATTCTTATTCCTTAGTAATATAATATAGGCTGACAAATCATCTCAGCTCAGTTTTAATTGCGTATACTTTAATTTATCATATCGTTATATCTTTATATATCTTCTATTGAATATTACAGTGACCTAATCAATGTTTAGCCGAAACGAAAGTTAGTACAGTCTACGGGTGCTTGGTATATTAATAATTAATGAAGAATTTTCGAATTACAAAAGATGTTCATTCGCATGACCTAATACAGTAATACCTATAGTTCTAATTTCGAAGACCACTGTATAATAATGTGTAGAAAAACGCATACATTTTAATCACTTTATTATTATACATATTATTCTATAATTAACAATGTTTTTATTTATGATAGCAATTAAAGCATCATAGATATACTAAATAATCTCTAATCCGATACAAACTATATGAACGAAATACAAAGTTCTGTAAAAAAGTGATATATATTTGCGAAGTTAACGATTGTTTATAGAATTTACTTTTTAACAATGTATTTAACAGAACTACTGTAAAGTATGCAATATATTACACGAGTACATAAAATTCACTTTATATTAGGTAGAATTTTTATATTTGAGTATGGTATTATAGCACATTATGTGTAAAAGGGTACATATAATTGGTGAAATATCGTCCAATTAAAAGTAAGTGAGACAGAGGTACAGGAGGTCGAAGGGTAAATTGTTGGGCATGTAGCTTTTAACTAAAACGGAGTTAGTTAAACGGATTAACTTAAGCACTTTAACAAGGGATTTCATTTTCAATATAGATTTTAAACTTCCAGCGGAGTAAGTAGGTACCTACTATATGATTGGACTCTATAGAGATAATGCCTTGCTAATTAACTGTATATAATAATCTTAATTTTTTTTACCAAACCAAATTACGTATATTAATATTAATATGAATAATTATTAATAATAATTTCAATTTCTATACCTAAGAACACATTTTGAGAAACCTCTATAGACGTATACGTCATCGTTATCACTATATATAAATAATATTATATTCTAACGTAATACAATTTTTCCTTTATTGATATATTATACACAGTCTATTCCTAATAAGATTATTAGATAAAATAAAATAAATTACAAGAATACCTACTTGATAAAAAAAGCCACCCAGTGATGACACTATTTAAAAACAACTTTTATAAATAGGTAGAGTTTGCTTTAATTTTCTAACAATACTTACTGCGCAGTCACCACTCATCAGATTGTATAAGTAGCTGGTATAATATCTTCAATTTTAATACAAAATATTGTAATTTTGCGATGTGCAATATAGGATTGCACTTAGTTCTGACAAAATTTTCAGCCTTTATTTCTTAGTGTTTATCATAAATGTATATTGCTATTAGTAATTTATATTTCAATTGGTATAAAAGATTAAACTAATTTTTTCCAAAAACAATTAATCGCATATAGGTAATATAATATAATAATAGTAATATATAATATTTAATAATTAATAAAAATTATATTATTTCATATAATATTACTTGCTATTGTTAATAACTTTTATAAGTCAATACAGACATAGCTGGTATCTAGATAGAGGTATATACCTACGACCTACCGTAGAACGGTGTGAATAAATTTGTGGTATAAATATAATAAAACGTCATTATTTATGTGAGTAGGTATAGTAAATAATAATTACACATCGAAGAAAAGTTTCAAGTCCATAAGAAAATTTTTTTTTGAACTAAAATTATTATTTTCGTTTAAATAATCAATTTTTGTTCAAATGTGAAATACTGAAATACAATGTAAGAGATTTTTATAGGTTACTTAATACTTATATTATTTGAGTTTTGAGTTATAAGTTATGACTTAGGGGAACCTTGTTTTAAATTTTCAAATCTTTTTGCACATATACAGGTAAAACACGATACGTAAATTGTTCACACTTATGACATAAGTATGAATGTATAATATGTTGGGGTCAAGATTATGATTCACATATTTTTGAGCTAAAAATATGGACTCTAAATAGGCTAATTTAATTTCTATTATTGAAGCCCACGTATTACAATGTCGTAAACAATAATTCTGTTCATTTATAACTCATAATATAATGCACCACGCGTTCATATAAATTATTAGAACTATTCTATTAATTTTATACAGGTTTAAGAGTAATTTAGTCAAGGTGAATCACTCCTAGCGAATACCCGTTAGGTATACAAAATATATCAATATTTGTGTACCAACAAACATAAACAGCTTGGACTAACTATAGCTCCATATATATGCTGATAACCAAATATGTAGGCAACATAATATTTGTATTTATAATTTTAACAATATATATTTATTTGTCACTTTTAAAAAATATACTTATATATAAGAAAAAAATTATGATAGAAAAAAATAAACTATTAGGTATACCTAATTAGTTTTAATGAAATTTTCATTTGTTAAAATGTTTTATTTTTCTTTGTAAATATCACTTAGCTGAAAACTTTAGTACCTATTGTACTTAACTCAAACTAATTTTAGCTTAATCAATTTTATATTATTATTAGCCAATGCGTAATTATTATTATTATTATTATTTTTATTGTTCTTAATTAACATCAGCTACAATGGCCGTTAGTTACAATTTAAAAGTACAATTTTGTTTTGAATTTTATTATATATAACTGTATACAGATTAGTTTTGTGTAAGAATGTAAGAATTTGTGTGGTGGTGCCTGGTCTGGTCCGAGTGCTGCGTCTGTAATTATTATTGTCTGTTAGTATATTGCAATAGATGTTCGTCACAATACTTTTAGGACTACCTAATTTTATTATATTGTTAGTCACTGGAACAAATTTAACCGGAAACTTAAAATCTAATAAATTCATCTGGCTTATAAAATATAATATTTAAATATTTAAATAAATATTTCATGGAATTATTGAAGTATTCCAAGTTCTAACTGCAGATAATAGATAAACGATGACAGGTAGGTAAAAATAAATTTCAATATTGATCTCTCAATGGGCTCCAACTAAATACAATTTCGTATCAGAAATCACCCTTGTTCCTTAGAATTGAAGATTGAATCATTTTTTTAAAATAAAACTTTTACCTAGGCATACACAAAAAAACACGTCATTGTAAAGTCAATACATCCCCATTGTTTTACTAAGAACCTAAAAGACTTAACCTGGAAGTATAAAATAAGCACTGCATGTCTGCAGTGTATAATACGAATCGAAACACAAATCCTTGTTCAAATATTATAGTTTAATATATTATAACAACCCTTATATATCATTGATAATGGTCTTGGAAAAATAAACGTGCCGAAAATCCTAACGATAGTTGATTAGAAAAAACGACTTCGCAACGACCATACTCGCGTCGTTGTGTACCCGTTGTCTGGGAAATGTTTGAATTTTTCGAGTAAACTGATTTTGAATTGAACTTCGAGTTCACTTGCAATTAAACGTCTGACCTGAAACAACCAAAAATTAAAATGGCCATTATTGACCACTTTGCTCGAGAAATTGCCATAATGTTAGTCGAACGCGTAGAGGAAGAACTAATAACGCTTGAAAGTAAAGACATAGAACAAAAACTAGAGGACGACGAAGACGAAGACGATAATATACTAGGCGATATAATTTGGTTGTTTATTGAAAATGAAACGGCCGAATGCAATGTCGAGGTAGGCAGCGGCGACGCTGCAGCTGTAGACACGACGCACTCCGAGAAGCTCGGACCATCTGAGCAGGGACAAGAACTTCAGCAGGCTGAAGACTTGCAGCAAGAGCCAGAACAACAGAAAGAGGCAGACATTATTCCATCTGAGGGAGAAAACATCAGTGCAGTCCAACGTGGTAGGATTATAAGGCGGTTGTGCGCCGCCACTTGGAGAGGCGCGAAGCGCGTACTGCTCTGCGGTTGTTTCCGGAGGAAGTGAAGCCAGTGGCATAGCGAACCCCCTCCCCCCAGATGAAGACACCATGACAAGACGGCGGCGACGGGGGAGTGGTACGTGAAAGATCACTTTACGGTGCCCGGCGGTAAGTCACCCTATACGTTTTCCGGCCACCCGCAGAAAGACGAGATCGCAGTCGCCAGCGTCGCGAGCTCGCGGTTGCCGACACGCGAGACCATCAAGACGACTCGGCGAGGGCCCGACCGCTTCGGTGACACCAGGAGCCGATGGACGACGACGACGACGGCGGTGGCTAGCTGTACCGGCGCGGCCAACGATACCGCCCCGACGGTACCACTCGACGATGGCAGTGTGCACGAAGGCGACGGCGGCGGAGACTGCAAAACACAACGGGCGAGCGGATACAGCTGCAGAGCTAGGAACACGGAAATCAGCATCGCCGGACTCGCGGAAACGGATAACGTTTCAGGGTCCGGCGATGTGCGACTCCAGGACGGCCACCGGACGGTGACTAGATCGAGAAAGGGCGAAAATCGCGCGCAGAGGATCAGGACCTTTGCGGCGTGCTTTGCTGTGAGGTCCGGCGATCCTCTCGCTGCGTTTTCGCCCAGTGGCAATCGGTCGGGTCACGTCTCCGGTCGCCTGCCGATTCCGTAGCGCCGACGCAGCTGCCTCTGCTCGCTCAGTGATTTAGGTTTCCGTCGCCGTCGCCACGCATCAGTCGTCTTCAGTACCTGCGCACCGTCGATGCGCACAACATCGCGCACTAGCCGCTCGCCGTCAAATCGTCTCATCGCTCCCGTGGCCGTCGCGGTCGGGACTTCGCCAGCCGTCATTGATGGTCGTCACCCGCGAGCAAACGCACTGGCGACTGCACTCGTCCGCCTGCGGGATGTGCAGCGAAAACGTATAGAGGTGACCAGTAGCCAGCATATTGCAGCTTTATGCACCTCGCCATCACGTACCGCTCCCCCTGCTTATTGTGTCTTGTCTGGTGTTCCCCCCCCATTGGGCCACTTTGCGCCAATTGAACTTAAAAAATCATATAAAATTACAAAAAAAATAAGAAGATATCAAAAATAAAAATACAAAAAAAAATAAGAAGATATATCAAGTAAAAAAACAAAAAAAAAAATTCCACTTTGGACCGATTAAATATTGAAAATCATGAAAAAATACAAAAAAAAATATAAGATATATCAAGTAAAAAAACAAAAAAAAATAATAAGATATAAAAAAAAATAAAAAAAAAAATACTTTTGATTGATGTACTTAAACTATAATAAATATATTATTGTAAAACTACATTTATTTTGTTGAGTACACAATAAAATTATCGTTTATACAAAAATAAAACAATGTTTCTTTTTTTACTTATTAGAGTGTATTTGTATATTTATATTTATTTCAACAGAATAATGGGCTCCACTGAACATGCCCCTGTGAGGGCCCATGCAAAGTAATAACTACCTACTAGCAATGTTTTTGTCACGAATCAAATATATCAATTGGGTATTTTTGATCAGGTAAATATTTTAATATAATAATTAATAGATAACCATAGATATAACTTGGCACTTTTACGTATATTATACATTCGACTGTACTCAATGGCATTATAAAAATTGTTATACTTTTTACTCTTGACCCCACAAAGTAGGTAACAAATAGGACGTACCTACCAAGTATCAGAAAAGATGTTGATGTAAAACATCAAATCATTTTTACTCCCCCAAAATGTAGCCTCAAAACGAATATTAAAAAGGCGGGTAAGTGGATGTCGATCTGCAGTACAGTTGGTTACAAGTGGCCCTAGTGGATTAATGTAATTTATTTGTTTATTTGTTTATTTAACGCCAATCGGCAATTCAAGAGATTTACAATACAAATTATATACAGAAAATATTAAGTAACAATGTGATGGAGTCATAGGCGCCAGGTTTCAAAAAACTTAATGGGTGCCTTGGTACCATTGGTATCATACTAACATAGGCATAAATACATAATTTTGGGGGAGGGGGCTTAGCCACTGGTCAAGACAAATTTCCCCGTAAAATTTAAAAAATGGAATTGTCTTTTCAGGTGGGGCTAGTTGCAATTTAACCCCCTAAAATTTTAATTTTGGCTCTCCAAATTTCGCCTATAGGTGTCATGATTCTACTACTTCACCAAAAACGTTTGCATTTTCTTATGGATTTTTTTGGTGTATACAAATATTAAATTATAATATATACCATGTTGTACACTGAAATATGCGATCATCATTGATTATAAAATATATTAATTATACAACAAAATAAATGTATACCAAATTGGGAACTTATTTATAAATAATAATAATAAGTAAAACAAAAAATAAAATAATTTTAATTTGACTGTTCAGAAAATAAATATGCTTTGACGTACCTACCTATTATTATAATTGAATTTATAAATGAGTTAGCTCTTAGCTATCAATGTCTATATCTTCATTACGACGGACAAACAATAAAGCAAATATCGTTAAGACGATTTTGTTTCATTGTAGACCTTAAAAATGTTTTTAATCTTCGAAGTGCTGAAAAAGATCACAGCTAGAATTGTATTTCAATAGTCGTTTGCTAAAATTGTCAAAACTTGGATATAAATACACTCTATACATTTTCAATATTCTAATGGGTGCCTCGCACCCCATAATAATTTTAATGGGTGCTTGAGCCCCCGGGCACCCATGTACCTGGCGCCTATGGATGGAGTAATCTTATATAAAAAACGAGGTGAAACATAGTAATTTACAGAGCAAACAACTAAATATTTAGTACAAATAAAAACATAACAATATAATGAAACTAAAAACTAACTAACTTAAGTAATATATACATTTAAAATATCATGATCTATTAGTTATTGAGCAGACGAAGCATTCTGTGTAAAGGATGGTTATGAGAGTAGTTGAAACGGTGAGAAGGGACAAGGAAAAGTGAGTGATGTCTAGTGTAATGTACAGGAACGCGGAAAGAGATAGAGGAAAGAAGGTCAGGGGCATCAACAGTGCCATTAAGAAGAGAGGTGACAAAGGAAAGGTCAGCCTCTACACGGCGAGAAGAAAGAAGAGGGATATTCAAGGAAGATCTAATGGATGAATAGTCATGGGGTGGGTGAACAATCTTGAGCAGAAAAGCAGCGTATGAGAGGAATCGATTTTGAACTCGCTCTAAGCGTAATTGGTCTTTAGCCAAATATGGATGCCATACAACAATTCCATATTCCAAAATAGAGCGGACAAGAGAGAAATAGAGGGAACGAAGACAAGTGGAGGACGTGAAAAGGCTAGTGTTGCGCTTTATGAAACCTAGGACTTTTAAGGCTCTACCAACTGTTATATTAATATGCTGTTCGAAAGAAAGAGATGGAGTTAGGTAGATACCAAGGTCTTTGACAGAAGAAACACGTTCGAGTGGGGAGCCATTGAGGGAATAAGGGAAGATAATATGTATTCGCTTTCTGTGGAATGTCATACTATGGCACTTGTTGAGATTGAGCGTAAGGCCTATACGCTGAGTCCAGACACAGAAGGAGTCGAGATCTGACTGAAGTTGACGGCAGTCGGAGATAGAAGCAACTTTAGAATAAATTTTAATGTCATCCGCAAATAGAAGGACTTTGGAGAATGAAAGGTAATTGTTAATTGAGTTAATAAAAATTATGAACAGTAGAGGACTAAGATGTCCTCCTTGAGGGACTCCAGAAGGAGTTATAGACAAGTCAGAGGTAGCACCATGGATTTTCACAAATTGCATTCTTGGACTGAGATAAGATTGGAGCCATGATAGTAAAGGGTTCCCAATACCGAGTGATTCTAGTTCAGAGATAAGATGGCTATGGATAACCGAGTCAAAAGCTTTACTAAAGTCAGTGAACACGGCATCAACTTGGCAATCGGACTCAAAGCTCTCCAGAATATACGACGTTAGAGCTAGGGTACAGGTGGTAGTAGATTTCCCAGGACGGAAACCATGCTGGTCAGCCACTAATATATGGTTAAGACTTCTTTTGATATTAGTGTATACAATGGACTCAAGTAGTTTTGAAATGTGGGGAAGAATAGAAATAGGCCTGTAATTAGAAACAAGTGAGGGATCACCAGATTTAAAAACAGGGGTAACAGAGCTGGTCTTCCACACAGCAGGAAAAATACCTTCATCGAGTGATTGTCTAAAGAGCAGAAATAAAGGGTAAACAATGGAGTCTTGACAGTTAAAAAGTAAACGTGCAGAAACACCATCAGGACCATTGGAATTGTTATTTTTTAGGGAGTTAAGTGCAAGTTGCACATCATCAAGAGTAATGAGGCAATTAGAAGGAAGTTCGTACGGATATCTATTATTTGTAAGGGGATTAAAAGGTGGAGAAATAGAGGGATTATACATGGAATAGAAGTACTTAGATAACAAATTGGCAGAATCACGAGGATTATCAGCCGTAGTGGTATCCCAACGTAAGGTGGAGGGTAGTGTGTTGTGCTTACTGAGATTTTTAGTATACTTCCAAAAGGAAGAGGGGTTGTGAGTGAGCGAGTATTCTGTATGTCTTATATATGACTGATAGTCTATCTTAGAAGTGTGTTTACATTTCGCACGCAGCTCAGAAAAAGCTAAGTAGTCGCATGGCAACTTAGTCCGCTTAAAAACTGCATGGGCACGCTTTTTCTTTAAAATAAGATTTTTAAGTGTGGGAGAGGTCCAGAGAGGAAATTTTGGTAACTTGTAAATTTTTGTAGGAACAAACAACTCAATGGAATGAAGCAGGGCTTCATTAAAAATAGAGGCAGCACCGTCGATTGAATATTGTGAAAAGGTAGACTCCCAGTTAAATGAGTTAAAAAATTGCGATATACCAGAGTAGTTTGCATCTTTGAAGTCTTTATAGGTATGGGTGTTATCTGCCACATTATCAGATTGGAAAGGAAAGATTATGTGAAGAGGCGGGTGATAAGGGTCAGGAATAACAAGTGATTCAGTTGCTGTACTGCTAGTGACTTCATTGGAGTTTGAAAAAATAAGATCTAGAATGCTGCCATGACTATTAGGAAGGAAGTTATGTTGAAAGAAATTTAAGTAAGAAAAAGAGTCTATAATAGATGTGGTAACCATATTGTGATCACTTGTGGCAATTAATCCTAGTTCATCAGATGACCATGTAACATTAGGTAGATTGTAGTCACCACAAAGGATAACTGATACAGATTTATAGGAGGATATGATTTGCTCAACAGAAGCAACGTGGGATTCAACTACAGGAAGAGGAGAGTGTGGAGGTAAATAAACACCACCTACCAATAAATAATTAGAGTTGAAGGACAGTAAGGCAAATATTTGCTCAACATTCGAGGTACTTAATGTAATAGGATGGTATTTAATGGAATTATTGATGGCAATTAATACTCCACCTCCTCGGAGAAAAGAACTGTTGTTTGGATTTCTATCGAGTCTAATCACCTGAAAGCCATGAAAACCTAATTCACTATCACTTATGTCAGGTGTTAGCCAAGTTTCAGTGAGGATAATGACGTCATAAAAGTTAAACATTGGGAAGGAACATCTGAGATTGACTAATTTGGTTTTTAGGCCACGTACATTTTGATAGAATATTTTTAGATTGGAATTAAGGGCCTTATTACATAACTTATTGCTTTTAGTATTAGGATTATCATCTGGTTTAGAAAATGAAGTTTTAAAGTTATTAAAATACAATACGAAGGGTTTTAAAGTTTGTTGAGCTGAGTGGCAGCGCGTACAGTAAGACGATTGAGATTTAAAGTTATACATACAGTTGTGGTGCAGATCTGAAAGACATGAGCAGTAGTAGAAGAAGGCTTTGTTCGAAGCAGGAGGCGGTTGATTAGGCAGTGGCAGGTCGGTACTTGTTAGTTTTTTGGATGGACAAATGTAGAAGTAGACGCATGATGGCGTCTGGTCTGCGATGACCGAGAAAGTGGCACAATGAAGGGGAATCCATCTCTGTAGTTGATCGTCAGGTCAGTTTCTCCGTTCTTTTTACGGTTTTCCAATTCGGTGTATACAAGACGGATAGACTCTCGTTCAAGTGGGGTGCGATCACGGGTCATAGTGACAGAACGAGGCCTGCTGTCAGGGGGAAGGCCTCTGGCATTTTTATTGAAGTCAGAAACTAGTTTGAGAGCTATTTCTTTGGAAGAGAAGAATACCTTGAGAGGTCTCGGACCCCTATCATTAGGTTTGCCAAGTCTGATTGACTTGGGATTAGCAACTGCTTCAGGAAAGTATGGGTCGATTATCTCAGCTATTTTCGAAGTGTCATCTGAGATTCTTTCTTCTATAACAGAAGATGACGATTCCTTTAATCCACGAATAATGACATTCCGAGAGCATCGCTCACGCTCGGAGATCTCTTGAAGAATGCTAGGGACAGTGCTAGCCGAAAAAGTAGGACGACAACTGTTTGCCGCTTCAAGGTCTTGGATACGCTTGTTGAGATTAGAGATGTTCTCACGAAGATTGTCATTGTCTAATTTTAAGTCCGCCACCTGAGTTGACAGATGACTAATGCTTTCTTTCAGCTCAGTAAACTTAGAACTTTGGGATTCACATAGTAGTTTACATTGGTCCAGGGTTTCAATTTGAGTTTTTTGGTGCTCAGCCATAGTTTTGTTAAAAACATCTAAGGTTAGTAGAGCGGCCGTTTTGGCACGAGTAGCAACTTGGGAGACAGCATTTGGAGTCGTCGGGGGCATAGCTCAGCAAAAACGAACGTCACAAATTAACCTGTTCCTTTAAGAGAGAAGATGCAACCAAAGTTACAGCGATGCGTGCGGAATGAAAAGTAGTACTATTACTAATACTAATAAAGTTTGTATCCACGCGTCAAAGTCTCCAAGAGAACGGAGGTGAAGAAACAGCTGATACGTAATCAGCCAGACTAGTCCAAACAATTGTTGATAAGAAGTAGACTGTACTCACGATAGTTCTCTGTCAGAAAGATGAGTGACAATTTTTTGACTGTTCCACTGCAAAATATAGATGGATAACACGAACGAGGCTTGAGAAAGTTTAGACGTACAAGCAAAAACACTTCAAGTGAAGAAAAACACACAAATACTCCAGAAAAAAAATATACTTTATAGAGAGCAGTAGGTACTTGTTATCACAAAAAAAAAAAAAAAAAAAAAAAAAATGGATGGTGTTAAATTTGAATTCAATGATATAAATCATATTATTGTATACGAAAAACGATTGTGATCGAAGACTGACTTTCAGCCTATAATATTACTAAGTACCTAGGTAGGTATATTTTATGATATTATTGTGATTAATTTTAGTATTAGACGTTATAGTAGGTATCTACTAAGGTAGGTTAAATGCATTTTTGCCAAAAAATCACATTTGAAAATGTCATTGTGTAGACGTCTTATAAAATATAATAATATACTCTTAAGGGGCCTGGTCGCGATTTTTCAAATTTTCCGCGATTCTATAAAATTTGAAAATTAAATTTTATATTTTAGTTGCCACCTCAACTATAAGACTTTTCCACTAATCTACTACCCAATACCTATTTAGGGGGGGTTGATAGGGTGTATTATATCGGTCAAAACACAGTTTACAGGAAAAACTCTCACCCCTCGTAGATTGGTTCGATTTTCGTAATTTTTTTTTTGTTAGATATAGGAATATTTTTTACAGGGCGCATTGGACTTCGATTTTTGATTACGTCGCTAAAAACAAAAAATAATACAAAAACTAAAAAGTTGTAAAAATTGATTAAATTCATACTTGTAACATAAGACTTAGAAAAATAATTTTGAAAATCCAAGTCCAATGCGCCCTGTAAGAAGTCTTCCTCTATCTAACAAAAAAAAAATTACGGAAATCGGACCAATCTACGAGGCGTGAGAGTTTTTCCTGTAAGGCATGTTTTTGAGCAAAAAAACAGGTCGCGTGCAGGCCCCTTAAAGTTTCACATAGGTAGGTACCCACTACCCACAAATAATATTTTACTCTCACACCTAGAATGTCTGTCAAAGAGGAGACCATAATAAAATATTATATTGAGAAGTTGGTGTCGCACTCTCGCACGACACGTCTTATATCGCCCATGTACACTGTAGTATACTGTATACACGTGCTGTGTAGTGTGTATCAAGTTATATAATACCTATATTGCAATATTTTATTAATTTTGGTTTTTACAGTGAAGTTTATATGAACGGATTTTCTCAGCAAACGTCTACAGCGTGCGTATACGCATATTAAATTCAAAATAATTGTATAGATATTATATAATATAATTATTATTAACTGTATATTATAGCGGAGACCCACGACTGCTATTAACGTAGTAAATATCACATCAAATTGTGAGCGTCAAATTAACATTCGAACAATTTCGTTCGATTGTAAATCGTATTTTTAAGTATAATATTATTATTATGTATTATTATCGTGTGTTTGCCCGGTTAAGTAGGATCCTGAGTTACTCATAACAAAAAACTGTCAATAAGGATTTTTAATATTTTTCATGTTGTCGCTGAGTGATTCGGCGAGGACGTAGTTACGACGGTTGTACGTGTGAAACGTCGATCGTAGTACGGGCTAGGCAATCTGAATTTGCTAAGTGTTTTATTTATATTTGTTTTAATATAATAAAAGTGTTTCCGACCCAAAAACCCGAGTTGAGTATTATTTCAAAGTCTTCGTCGTTCTTACCTTTAATATTGGAACAGTGCTCAGACCCACACACCTATAGTCAATGAGGTTTATTACAAACTGAACAGTGCTCTGGTTGTGTCGTCCTAAAAGTCATTCCAATTTAGGAAACGGACGAAGAACTGACAAAACGCATACCATCGTACCTCAAAGGTTAACAGTGCTAATCTGAATTTATTCTAGAGACAGTCATTAGCCTAGAGCGTACGAGGGTAAGGTATAAAGTTGGTTTACCGCGTATTATCCGATACGGGTGATACCACAATACACAAGCATAGTTTATTTTTATAGTCATTTTAAGTTAAAATTTTTACGAAATTACATATTAAAAAAAAACCTAGAATAACATTTTGTTGTGATTGTATAAAGTTATTCGTGGGTGCTTGAAACTTCTAAAGTGTACTGCTGTAAGTGTATCTATGATAGTATCATGGTTTGTTGTTGATGTAGAAAGCGTTAGAAGTTCCTAATGGATATTGTGATATGATTAATTTGGAATTTATTATAGATCAATATTTTTTAAAATACCATAGATATGTATATAATATCTCTTAAACCTGGACTGGCATACAGTCTCCGCTCAGAATCGTATACAATGATATTATATCATTTAATTCAAATTTAATACCATCCATTGTACAGTGACCCACTTGTAACCTAATACTGTACAACAGAGCACCTTTTTTTTAAACTGATTTTGAAATTTTAAACTTGGCTAACTTTACAAACTACAAGTAGATACTTTATCCCACCCACTAAAAAACAATGAACATTTTCAAGAGAAGTTACTGGTAATTTATTAGCCAAGAGCAAAAACAGTTAAATAATATTATTAGAATAAAAAGGATTGCCTATTCCTAATAATAGTAGGTAAGTACTACCATGTTGAAAATTAATTCATCATATCAATATAAGATATTTATATAATGTAACTACGAGTTAGAACTAATTAACTAAATATAAATATCAAATAGGAGTATACATTTTCTCATTTGATTATTCATGATTTAATTATGGTTTTTTTTTTTTTTTGGAGGGCGGTGGTGTGTTGTTTTAGTACTAAATCAAATACAAAATGGTATATATTTTCTTAGTTAGGGAACCAACTGAATATTTTTCTACTAGGAAATAGTAAAGTACACATTAACAGACAATTTAGAAATAAAATATATATATTTAAATTAAAATTAAAATGTTTAACAATGGTAACACATAAATTAAGCCATTGGTATAAATATTGTAATCAATAGCAGTAGAATAATATTAGAAAATACATTCTGAAAACAACTAATTTATATAATATAATATATTACTATCTAAGACTAATAGTAAATATGAATAGGAGTATACACTTTGGTCGTTTAACTGTTTATTATAATATAATATAGACTTTATATTTAAATAACTAATAAGTATTTGTTATTCACTTTAGTATTTTTAGTTCAATGGCTGTAATTATATTTAAAATATATTTAAAATTATTATTATCATTTTAACGTATACAAGTATTGTACTAATGCATAATAACAATAACAAAATAAGCTATTCTACATACTACCAATATAAATTGTTCAATGCACCAAAATAATAAAAAAAAAAACAAAAAATTAAAATAATTCACACACATAGAAGTAAAGAATTTTAAAAAGGAATGGAGGGATTGTTAGTTTATTAAAATAGGAATGTCCACTGTCCACTATGGACAAATATAAATAAATGAAAACCTTGTTTAAAGTTTGTTCAATGATTTGTAATAGTTGGCGAGTACTTCCCAGGCTGATGATGCCATGAACCCAGCAGGTGGTTCGATACCATCTTTGGCAAGACCTAAAAGTATAATTTACATTAGTTGTATACAAATATATAGGTAATATTAGTTTAGATAAAATGTTTACAACAAAAATAATAGGTACCTCTCATTTTTGTGCCAGAAATGAAGTTGAAATCATTATGCCGGGTAGAATCATAAAAGTCCATGGCTTTTTTTGTTTTGTCGTAGGCTGCTACACGAAAGGGTATGATCTCCAAATCTGACAGTCCTGGTGCCATAGTCAACACACGAGCACCATGAGTGGGATCAAATAAATCACCCGATATGTTAGGATCTGGGTGTGGAACTCCTGCTGGATCCCTTCCCACAATGTAAAAGTTTGCTCCGGCAGACATGCGAGCTTTGGCATGCCATTGCACCTAAAAATCAAAGTTATATTATTCATTATACTTAGTTATGGTAAATTGAATATTTTATAACAAAGTAAGATTGGATTTTAAACAAATATCTACTAAATTATCCATTCATTATTGCTTACTAAATAGGAAAAACAAATAACATATGATTCTATGTTATAAAAATTATACCTCTGTAGGCCCAGCATAATTCATAGGTGCTGGGAAAATAGCCAACACAGTAGCTTCTGGATCCAAAATTCCATCTTTAAGTACAGCTTTGTGTTGAAGTATTCTCACATGAAGTGGAACATCATCGTCTTTTGTCCAGCCACCAAGAGGATGTAACAGTAAGACTGGTTTCTTATATCCGCGTTCCAGAAGTTTTTTCTTAGTGTCCTAATTAAACATCATTATATTAGCAAGCTATAATAATTAATTAATTAATAAAGTAAAATAAAATAATACAAACCTGCATTAAAAGTGCATGGCCATTATGTATTGGGTTTCGAAGTTGGAAAGCAAATATTGCATCTGCTTTCATTTCTCTCCATTTTGCGCGGAGTTCATTTGGTGTAAAACGAATATCGTCCAAACCATCATTCCATAAGATCCTTTCTATGACGTCTAAGTTACCACCAACCAACCAATCACCACTTTCATAAATTGTCTGAAATATAATAAATAAAATATCAATTACAAATAATGGTAAAAAGTGCCTAAAAAAATTAAGTACTTTTATGTAAGGATGATTGGGATGCGATGTTCCAAATTGACGACAAACTCGTTCTTCTTTACGGTGGGGATAGAATGATGGTTTACGAATTATTGCTACCGGTTTTGAATTATACCATAATGCAATTTCTTCACAGCCAAATAGCTGTTCCTTTTTATCAGTGGTTATGGGCAAAACAATAGGTATAGATTGGTTAACATCCTCACTAAAACTATTGAAATGCAAAGTCTGCAAAAAATAATAATATTATATTATATAATAATATTACATACATTACAATTTTAAAATGATCTATAATCTCATGTTATTGAATACCTGTAAATATTCTTCTTCGTTCATGAAACCACCGAGTGGAGCTGCCCAGCCTTCAGCCAATACTTGGACCCATTGTGTGTCCATCTTACTAATGTCAAGTCGAGGAAGTAATAGTGCTTCGGATTTGGTTTTTTCTATTGCGTTTTCTGGGACAAACAGTTCGGCAACACGGTCAATGTCACGATTCATTTGCAGGGGAATTACTTCCTAAAAAGAAAAAACATTTTAAATTAAAACAAAAAATCAATTTTACAAGCAATAGGTTTTAGGTATTACTTTTAAATGTTGTTTATTCTAAATACTTATATTAAAATAATATAATATCTTATAAATTAATTTCATTTCATTATAACTTTTGTTTTAATTCCCTAATTAATTTTCACCTAATGTAATTTAATCAGCCATCTCTTACAATTTCCATTTCATTTACTGGCTGTCACAGTGTCTCAACTTTAATAGGCATTCGTGTAGCAGGTGATCTACTAGGTACCTCTTTTTAGGTGAATCAGGTGATCTATCATATTATACTAGGTGTAGTTGGTGATCTATAATTATTATTATTAATATATGATTAATACCTATATTTATTAATTTATTATATTATTTATTAATTAATATTTATTAATATATATGATTTAAGAGGACATCACACCCGCATGTGTTGTCTACTTGGTTCCATACACGTACGATATAGACAAAACGGGTTTAAGCAGTCTGAGTATAAATCACTCAATTTTGGTTCTGGAGTAAAAATACCTATTGTGACAATATTTCCGAGGGAAATTCGTTGCGTTTTTCCCATTATACCCAATAGAATGTAGTAATTTACATTATAAAGTTTAGAAATAGCAAAAATTTCAAAATTTGAAAATACCTTTAACTTTTCAACATTTTTTAAAAAATTCACCGTTTTGGCAAAATATTGTCATCTTTTAATTTTGTAATAGATGTTTTTATTCAAACACCGAAATTGAGAGAGTTCTATTGTTCTATGTCGCACGGGTAAGACGGAGACAACACGTCATGTGGGTGTGACGTCCTCACAAAAATAATAGAGGCAGGATTTTTTAATGGGTTATAGAGATGCAAATTGAACAGACAACGCATAACTCACTTAAAAACTGAATTATCGTAAAATAACTTCCAACAAAACACAGATAATGTTCTTAACATCAAGTTTTATAATAGGTCGATTCACTCTAATTTTTAAGCTAACGGCATAAAACGTGAATTTCTGAGCGTAAATTTGGTATGTTACGCGTTTGTTGGACGTAGAAAACATATCCGGATGTGGTGTCTTCTTAAAGGGCATATTCATGTAGCAGGTGATCTACCACGGTTGAGTGATGTATGGGGCGACTCTGAATTGGTTCCCAATTGTCAAATTAGTTCCCGGGTTGTCTACAGGTAACATACCATACTTATTAAATATTTAAATACTTTTTCTGTATTTTAAATACTTTTAGACAGAAGTATTTCAAGTATATTTCAAACACATATTTTTATATTTTGTATTTTAAAATATTAAATACAAAATTTTCAAACAAGATATTTACTATTTAGTTTGGTTTATCGATTATGAAGAAATTGCTTATCGTCGATGAAAAGACATGACGATTATAAATGTTGTTATCGAAAAACAAAGATATGATTCTAAATCCATATTTTTTATTACTAGGTAATTGTAACAATTTTCCTGGGTGCCTTCTTAGTCCTTAGATACTATAATTGTACAAATTCAGTCAAATTGTATAAAAAATTAAAAGTAAAGAACCTAGTACCATCTATATTTATTATTTTTACCTAAATCTAGAGAATTACTAGCTCCTGCTACTACTGTTTCAATAGATGTTAAAATAAAAGTCAACACTGAAATTCAATTAAACAAATAATTAGTTTTAAGAATTAAGAATCAGAAAATAATAAAGCTTAAAAAAATGTATTTAAAAATATTTGAAATACTTTTTGAATATATTTGTATTTGTATTTAAATATTTATTAGCAAAAGTACCTATTTAAATAAATATTTTAATACTTTTTAATTGAAGTATTTAAATACCTATTTGAAATACTTTTGAATAGTATTTTTAACAACATAGCCACATACGAATTGGTCCCGCAAGCTTTCATGATAATACAACCTTGTTAAATTAACTTTTCAAATTATTATGATATATTCAATCAGCAACAATTTCCTTCCCATTTATTCAGACTTAGGACTGTCTAGAATTCAAATAAGTTCGAATAGTTCAAACACTATCTAGAATATCTAGGTACGGTAAAAAATGTTGCTCAACATAATATATTAATATATACATAATATACGCTACACACATATTTGTCAATAATAATAATTGTGCTTGTAATAAATGAGTAATAATAATGTAATAATAAGTCATAATAGGTAAATAATATTAAAAAAAGGTGGGCAAGTGGGTGTCGCTCTGCTGCACAGTAGGTTACAAGTGGGTCATTGTATAATGGATGGTATTAAATTTGAATTCAATGATATAATATCATTGTATAAGAAAAACGATTCTGAGCGGAGACGGTATGTCTTTCTAGGTATAAGACATATTATATACATATCTATATGGTATTAAAAAAAATTGACCTATAATGAATTCCAAATTAATCATATCACAATATCCATTAAGTACTTATAACGCGTTATACACCAACAACAAACCCTGATACTATCATAGATATATATAGTAGATTACTTTAGAAATTTCAAGTACCCACGAATAATATTATACAATCACAACAAAATAACTAATATCGTAATTCTTGGTTTAAATATGAAATTTTGTCTAAATTTGAAATTAAAATGTCTGTAAAACATAAGTGTGTTTATATATTTTTTAGATTTTTTGGTTACAGTATGAATTATTTAAGAGAATCTTTGTTTTAAATTTTCAACTCTTAGTTATAAAAACTGAACATTTTATAATTTTTTAATTCCAACGATTGATAATTTTCGAGATTTTGATAAATTTTGTCAAAATTCCAACTTTAAATGCTTATAAAAAAAAATCGTGCCTATGTATTTTTAATATTTTTCAACTGATATTGTAACAATATATAAGAAAGCTTGTATTAAATTTTCAGACTTTTTGGCCCACCAAATAAATTTTATTGACAATTATAAAAAAAAAAACTAAAAAAATTGAAAACTGAAAATGTCCGTAAACAGCTCAAAAAGAGTCAAAATATTTTCAAAATTGTATGGTGTATAGGAAATGCTAATATAAACATTCAGTGAAATTTTCATGTATCTACAGTTATTCGTTTTTGAATTACAACAAAATAAGGAAATCGCTACATGAGAAATCGAGTGAAAATCCAATGTTGTAAAAATTTGAATTTCAAACGCTCATAAAAATTTAATTTGACTGTCCGGTAGAGATTTTTTTTATTGATAAAGGTAGATAATCTTATAAGGAATCTTGTGTTTCATTTTCAAATCTTAGATTTAAAAAGAAAAATTTTAACGAATTCTTAACTCAAAATAATTTGCTAATTTTCGTGATTTTTCCATATTTTGTCAATTTTTGAACTTTAAATGCTTATAAAAAAAAACTGTGACTAAGGATTTTTAATATTTTTCATCTGCCTTTGAAACAACATATTAGGAGCCTTCTATTAAATTTTCAAGCTTTCGCAACCAACAAATAAAATTTTATTGATATTTTTAGAAAAAAAACTAAAAAAAAATGGAAAATGAAAATGTCCCTAAACAGTTCAAAATAAATCAAAATATTTTGAAAATGTTATCGTGTATAGAAAATGAAAATATTAACAACCAGTGAAAATTTCATGTATATACGTTCATTTGTTTTAGAGTTACACCAATAACCAAAATCGATTTTTTGGAAAACCAATTTTGCGTAAAAATTCCCGTTTTTCCTTAATTTTTATGTTGTTTTTCCCGGCGCTTGTGAAAACTACTGGGAAATTTATACTTTTGACCCCCCAAAGTACCAACTAGATTCACTTTCCTATCAGAAAAGCTACTGATGAAGAAAATCCAAGCACTTTTACTGTCCTAAAACGTGATGACAGACACAAAAAAAAATAAAAAAAATTAAAAAAAAAATAAAAAAACACACATCATTGTAAAATCAATACATTCATCGTTTCACTCAGAATCTAAAAAATTAGTGTGGTAAAAAAAATCCCCTGACTACAATATTACTCACAACCACATGCAAATGGTCGAACAAATATTTTTTAAACGTTAATTAGTACCTATAGGTACCACATTGATAATATTTAATTACAAATACGTATATTATATTATATTATATTATATTATATTATATTATATTATATTATACTATATTGTATCATTCAAAAAAATTATATAATATAGTAATAATAGAATATTAATATTAATATAAATAATATTTTGTTTCAAATTACGATAGTATATTATTATGTGTAATTCAACTTAACGTAAATTCATACCACACTAATGTTTTTCTAATATTATTTACCTATTATGACTTATTATTACATTATTATTACTTATTTATTCTCTTCAAGGCTATATAACAGTTAAAACTATATTACTGTGTACCTACATGATAAATAATAATATTATACATAAGTAATATACCATAGGTATAACTCACATTTTCTTCAAGCATTTGTACTACTTGCATAGTACTCTCTTCTATGGATAAATGTACCGTTTTAAGAACTAATTCTGGTGAATCTGGTTTTTCATACACCTGGTCAACTCCAGTAAATCCTAATAATTAAAAAAATGTTTGTATTTCTTAAATAGTTAAATTGCTTATTTAAATACAAATTATCATAAGCTGATGAGTCAATGAAAATATTTAGTATTGCACTTAGTTATTAGCACATAAATTAATATAATACGTAAAATAATTTATAATACTAAGTTTAAGTAATAAGTACTAACTACCAACTGGCAACTACCTATATACAAATCTTCACAAAATTGTGTGTGTTCAAAAAATAAATTACCTTTGATTTGACCAGCCCTGGCCTTTTTATATAAACCCTTGACGTCTCGTTCTTCGCATACACTTAAAGGTGCATCAACAAACACCTCGAAAAATGGTAAATCAGCGTCCTTGTGTATCTTTCTGGCCATTTCCCTGTCCTAAATTATGACAGAAACACCGTTTTTCAACTGCACCGGTCGTAATATTTGTAAGTACTTCGGTTTTACACTAGCTGCTCACTTGTTGAAATGGAGACACAAAACTGCATAGTGTAACCACGCCACTGTCAGCGAACAATTTAGCCACTTCGGCCACGCGCCTGATGTTCTCTTCTCGATCGGCGGGGCTGAATCCCAGATCTCTGTTTAATCCCGTTCGCATGTTGTCGCCGTCCAATCCGTAGGCTGGTATTCCCCTGGCGACCAAATACGCTTCCAGTTCGAAGGATACGGATGTTTTTCCGGCACCGGATAATCCTGGGAAAAATATTAGATTATATTGAAGTTATTAATGGAATGCACTAAAGAAAAAAAAAAGAAATATTTAAACTTTTTATCCGCACTGACCTGTAAACCAAACGGTACAACCCCGGAATCCCCGCACGTTTCCGAGAACCTGTCCACGTTTGTCACGAGAAACGTGATGTTTCTGAACGGTGACATTAGTCGCTACCTGTAAACAAAAATTTAGGTAAAAAAAAACACCGTTTGTATTCATTATAATATATTAAATTTTTTTTACAATAATTATTAAGATTCATATTAAGATTTCAATTATTAAGATTTATTTAGTATTATTATTTACGTTAAGAATAATCCATTTAAATGTTGAATACTGACCTATTTAACATTCAAAGATAAGAATATTATGAAAGAACCATCAACCATACATATAGGTTTTTTTGATATATGTTAACTATCAAAATATCAATAATATTCTTACCTTTAAATTTGATCATAGATAAACTCATTCCAGTATTAAATATAATATTATAATAAATTATAATGGATTATTCTGAACCTACAATTGTCCGTGTAGTACGTTTGTAAGATGCGAAAAAATACATGCGGGTACGACGTCTTCTTAATTAAAAACTTTTTTAATCTTTGGTATATAAATAATTCTGTTCCAAATAACTAAATAATACTTACTGCACTAAAAAATATACACAAATTGATATAATACACGCACAAAGATTTCATTTTTTTTATTATTTAAAATTGGCAATTATCCATTTATTCTACACTTGCGTAAGAGTAACATTTATGATTACAGTGGAATCTTATAGGCAACTTCAGTACAAAAAATAATAATCAAAATTTTAGTATTAAATATTATTATACATAACACATTTAATATTTTACATAACCTATTCTTAAATGCATTTAATATATATTTTTAATACGACAGCGTCCATAACTCGATTTTGTTAACAACATATGTACATGATTATGAGATACTTCTGGTGATGATACGGAAGTATTATTACGACACTTTTCGTTAAGACAGGAAATAAATCCAACCTAATAACTGAGCTCTAAAACTCGTATTAAGCTACTTTCTCTGGTGAAAGCCAAATGTGGCCTTCAATGTATGATGTTTGTCCAAATATATTACTTAAATATTGGTAATTAAAATATTTACTTCAAATACTCAATCGTTAAATTAAACAAATTATTATACAACATACCCGGAAATAACATAATACAGTTTTGTAAAATGCTATAGCGGTATTAAAATGTTAATTTATAAGATTCAACTCTATCAAATTAAAAATATTGTTTTTATTTTATGAACGTTTTTGACTTGAGTATTAAGTATAACAATTATTGTTTATCGTTATAAGAAAAATAATAAGTATTTGTTAAGTTTTATTATAGGTTTATTATGGCATGACGTATAAAAAGCATGAAAAAAGAAAACGATAAGATTAAAATATAAAACGATACAATTTATTGACCAATTCATGCCGGTGTAATATTTGAAGCATAAAGAAAATTATTAATTGAACTTAACTAAACTTAATAACTTAATATTATTCAAGTTAATAGTTTTGAATTTATTGTTGTATGAAATAATGGACAAGAATAACTATTTAAAAGCTGTAGATTTAAGTTATAGTATAATATAATGTAAATAAAACAATACGTTTGTGAACAAAATTTTTTTTTTAGTAAATATAATGTATAATAATATGTTAATATACGTACACTTCTGCTTGGACCACGCACCGCTTTGGCCCTTGCGTTAACCGACATTTTTAATTAAAAATAATAAAATATTTATAAGCAAAAATCAATTTATAAGTTATAAACGTGTGGAATACAAAGTTGTAAGTTACCAGATAAAATATATTTAAATAAAAAGAGAGCAAATTTATGGTTGTCAGCCCAACGAGCGTGATTTTCCAATTGATCGGAAGAAGACCGGAGTACTAGGATATCTAACGGACCGCCGAGAACAGAGGAACCCCCTCTATACGCTGACCTCCATCGCCCAATTACGATCTCGTGCGAATAATATTGCTTTCGCCTCCGCAAGTACAAAGACCAATGACAATTTAAAGAATTTTTTTCTGAACATAATTGATCGTTCAGTATTTGCATAGTCCCAAACGAAGTTTTAAAGTACAAACGAATGTTTTATATTTTTATCACTAAAACAAAATACTACTTTGTAAATGCATTTTACATACTTAAATTTTACTATACAATCATACAAGTATAATAAACACAAACATACATGAATATCAAGTATACTGAAGTACCTATGACGCTTATCCCTGTAGTTTATCAATTATCACTTAATTTCAGCACTAAAGTTAAAGGAATATAAAAGCTGATAAAACTTATTTATTGAGACCAAACGATAACCTTTAAAATCCAATTTATTATCAATGATTGAATGATATTAGACATAACAACCATATATTCATATACTGGGATATAAATAACAACTTATTTGTTAAAACTGATTTTAGAATTAGCTGTAATTAACTATAGCCTATAGGACACTAGGTGTAGGTACCTACATGCCTTCATACATATATATATATCTTGGAAATACTAATATTATGGTTTGGTTGAAAAACTTTATTTATTTTATGAAACAATTTGCTTGAGATTATTTTGAATAACGAATAGAATAATTTGAATACGTGAATAGTGAATCACTATTAGCGTGTATTAATATTAGACTGTATCTTACTTGTTAACTTTCTACAAATAACGTCACGCATTTTTGCAATCTAGTAAGTAGTAACTAACAACTTGTTAACTTATCTATGAAGTATCAAATAAGTAAACGTATTAGGATAATAATATAATACTTAGTAATACTTTTCATAATGGCTGCTATAGCCTAAAGGTAACATAATTATTATTTATAATTAATTGTAAGTCTCGACGAATATAAAAAAAGTAACAACAATAAGAACAATTTTAAATGAACATTATACTTAAAGTTAATCAATAATAATAATGATGATGTTTGTCACCTGAACCCTATATATAGCGATGGTAATTTTAAACAATTATTGGTTTTGCTCGTATGAATATTAATGGAAAATAATAAAAACAAGAAAAATACAACGTAATAATAACCAGAAAGTGTCGTTTATACCTATATCAGACTATAATTTCCTGTCTTGGTGGTATTTGAGATGACTGATGAAAGATGAGCATTATCTATTCACATATTATTTATATTATTCTCTATTAATAATATCCAAGGCCAAACCAAAATTTATACTCCAGTGTGCAGATGGAAATGTCAAATAATTTTAGTAGGTAATAGGTATAGACGTGTTCATCAGAATTTGACTAATTCATTAATCATAATAATAATCTTGGTACATAAATAGGTAGGAACTATTCTGTAAACAAAATTCACAAATACAAATTTGAAAACACAACCAAATATCCAATGGTTAATATATTATAAACAAACGATTAACTGGTCATATAATAATTAATAGTAAACATTTACTAAAATATCCAATAGAAATAATAGTAAGCTTTTACTTTCAGAATTCAGTACCTACTAAGATTTCTTTGGCTAATGAGGACGTATAACATTGTATTTCTGAAGAACCAATTTTTTATTGTTAGTTTCCACAATACAGTGAAATGAGATATGATTACACTTAAAGATAAAAACAATATATGTGTTTGTACTTTGGATTTTTACGATCAGATAGATGTAGGTAATATGGTACAATACGACATAATATGTTTACCACACAATCAGCACAAGATCAAAAAGGATAGGTAAGTTCATATTTAACAATATAAAAAGTTGGGCAAGTAGGTGTCGCTCTGCTGTACAGTAGATTACAAGTGGATCACTGTAATGGATGGTGTTAAATTTTAATTCAATGATATAATATTATCATTGTATAAGAAAACCGATTCAGAGCAAAGACGGTTAGTCAGTCATATGATATTATCAAGTATATTTGATGATATAATTTATATATTACCCATTTATGTGGAACCTTGTTTTAAATTTTCAATCCTTAGCTATAAAATTTGAACATTTTATCAATTTTTCATACAAATTACAAAATAATTATTAAATTTTTAATTTGATAAATTTTGTCAAAATTCGAACTTTAAATGCTTATAAAAAAAAATTGTGACCATGTATTTTTAATATTTTTTAACTGCTATTGTAATAATATATCAGAAGCCTTGCATTAAATTGTAACGCTTTTTTATTCAAAAATAAAATTTTACAGATATTTATAGAAAAAAAACTAAAAAAATTTAAAACATGGGTGCTCGGATTTTGGATTTTGGTATTACTTTAAAAAAAATAACCATAGATAAATGAAATTTTCAATGAAAGTTTAGCAATATTAGCATTAGTTTCTGTACACGATAAAATTCACAAGAACAAAATATTTTGACTTGTTTTGAGCTGTTTATGGATATACTCAGTTTCGAACTTTTTTAGGTTTTTTTTCTATGATTGCCAATAAAATTTTATTTGTCGGGTAAAAAAGCTTAAAAAGTTAATACAAGGCTCTTAATATATTGTTACAATGACATTTGAAAAATATTAAATATACAGTCACAATTTTTCTTAAAAGCATTTAAAGTTCAAATTTTGACAAAATACGTAAAAATCAAGAAAATGTGCAAATTATTTTAAGTTAGAAATACATAAAAATTGTATTTTTAAATCCAATATTTGAAAATTTAATACAAGATTCCCCATAATTATTTCTACCTTTATCAAAAAAAAATATCTATCGGAAAGTTAAAAAACACACATCATTGTAAAATCATTACATTCATTGCTCCGCTATGGAAAAACCATTTACAATATGACAGTATAACTAGGGGGTCATTAAAAAAACAAAATTCCGATAAGTCGGAATGCAGATTAATATAGCTCGGGTAGGATAGTTCAGCATACCTATATATTAGTGATTCTTAATTTGAAATTAGAACCGCTAAATATAGTTTTTTAAATCTCAACTGTTTTGTTATATTGTTTAATTGTAGTTATTTAAACTGTGGTTGGCAATTCTTTATAAGGTTACAGGTATCTATGTATTTTTAAATTATAAGCAATATAGGTGGATTATAATAATTAATGATAAAAACTTTTAATTTATGAAATAATATGATCTCGAAATATGTGACTACGATACGACTTTATGATCTTTTTTATAGCTAATGGCCATAGTTTCCGGGCTTAAAGTTCAATAAAAAAAAAATCGTTGTCATTACTAGGGGTGAGGGGTCTCGTTTTTGTACGTGTTCACGTATACCATGAATCATGATTACGTCAATGAAACAAATTAAATCATGTATAGTTAATACACGTGAATCAACGAAAGCTTAATCACGTGGACACGTATCAGAATAGGAGCCGCGGGTTATAATGACGTGTATATATACGAAATTTTTCACTTTTTTAAGGTTTTCTTACAATATCTCTAAAACGAATAACTACAATAAAAAGTTTACATGGAAATTGAAGATAGTAAAATTTGTGACAAGAAAGGTTCTATACATTTTTAGTGTAAGAGTCATAGATATGTACCTATTCTAGTCTCTAGGTTAGATCCGTTTGCAAACTACGTGCATAGGTATGCACATCATTATAACGCACGGCGTCAAATTCTATGACAGCCGTTAGATTTTGCCACTTATCTATTACTCTTACGCTAAAAATGTATAAAACCTTTCTTGCCACAAATTTTACGATTTTCAATTTTTTTTTAAAGCTATTTTTAAAGTAAAGTTAATAATTTTAGAGATATTGTAAAAAAACCGTAAAAAGTGAAAAATTTCAACTAAAATCCAAGATGGCGGACCTCGGAGGGATAGCGCATTTTTTTTTGGTCAATTATTTAAAAACTTTAGTATTTTTTGCAAGGCAAAACCCCCCTATTGACTGGACTACATCGCCCGCCGCATGTCATCAAATATTACTTGAAAATGTTACAAAGTACAAAAAATCGTGATTTTACAATAGATTGATTTATGATTTACACGAAACATTTTATATTTGGACATAGGCGTGTGCACGGGGGCAGCAGAGGCAGCATATGCTCCCCCTGGACTTTCTTTGGGGCCACCGGGGCCGGCAAATATTAAATAGTGGGCCTCGGTAAAATTATATTTCCACAAAAATTTTTTTTTGTTTTGATAAACTATAGATGAATATTTTATATAGGCTTGTAGAAAAGTACACCTTTAGTGGCTTAGTACCTTACTATACAACCTTTTATCCAAAAAAACAAATAACCAATACAATTTTAATTTTGATATCCAATAGTAAAAAAAGTAAAACTATGGGCTGGTTTTAATGGGGAATTTGAAAAATGGGCCGAATTAATCTCTTGCTGCCCCTGAAACCGGAGGCTGCGCACGCCTATGTATTTGGATATATTATACCTATAATCCACTTATAGGTAGGTACTATAGGTACATACGTGTACCTAATACCTATACATATAATATGTAAACCTACGTTTGTAAAATTGTAGATCAACAAGACATATTTATAATAGTTGGAACTGAACTAATAGTAGACGGTATTATACTGTTTAAACACGAAACTCTAATATAAGCAAAAAAAAAAAAAATTGGAATACACATAAGTATGTCAGGCGTCAGTAATAAAAGATAAAAATATAACGGTAATTTATTTGAAAATGTTCCGGTGATTAGTAAAAATTGAAAATGCTCAATAAGTATATTAAACTAAATATTGAAAGCTGCACTAATGTAACTAGGTATATAAGAAATAAAAACACAATACAATTTTACTCAATTCAGAAGGCAGTCATCATTTTTTTTCTCTAATATTTATAACTTATAAGACATACTCCAATTTTAATCAGAAATTAATTTAACTATACCGCAAGGTATAAGGTTACAACTTTCAAGGTTTTGTACATAATCTTGTAAAGTTAAATTAAAAAAAAAATGGTAATATTGTTTACGGGCAACCACTAAAGCCACAGTATATAACAGTATAATTTCCTAGTTCCTACTAAGCTTGTACCACATTGAGTACCATCATCACTGTCAGTTTGTTATTATAGGTTATTACACTATTACTATTATTATTCTATATCGATATCTATAGATAGGTATTGTTTATTGTATTTTGAACAAGGACGTTATTCAGGACTGTAGAGATAAACAATAACGAAATATTAAATAGAATTAATGTACCGTGAAAATTCCATTGCTAGCTTCATTATGACATTGGGTTACAATGATTTTTTCTCGCAAAAATTGAACAGTGATGAATGATGATCAATATCAAATATCAATAGCAACGAGTTGTCAAAAAATAACAGAAATCAAGAGCGTGGTTGTAAAACAGCATGACGCTATAAGAGACGCTATACCTACCTACTACCTAGCAATTAAAATATATTACAATCATGAGCATGCAAGAAAAATATATAGGCACCCACTTACCAATGGGAAATGTGTAAGATATTATATACCTACCGATCACTATAGTATCATTAAAAAAAAATGTCCATTACTTCACCTTGAAGTTTGTGAATATAATCGAGATAATAATACTTGACAATATTATATGAGATGAGCAAATTCTAATTTCAAAATTACAATTGGAATTATTTCACGAAAGTTGAGCAATCAAAATTTAAAAATTGTTTCAACAATGTTGAACACTTGAGACACCGCCACAGCCTACATACAAATTTAATGTTTATTTAATAGCATAGCAATGAAGTACATATTATTAAGGAAACCAATCAAAAGTCATTTATGATTGATACATTTATTAAACTTAAAAGCATGAGTTTAATCTAATTTGATTAGTCCTACCCATATTATATTTTGTAAAGAGGATGCTACACGGCCATTTGTTATCTTCGTCTTACAAGTGCGTAACATAGCAAATTTACGCTCAGATGAATGAGTTTAGCTCCGTTAGCTTAAAAATTAGAGTGAATCGACCTATTATGCAACTTGATGGTAAGTACATTATCTGTGTTTGTATATGGGTTTTTTACGATAGTTCAATTTTTTAGTAAGTTATGTGTACCTATATAATATAGCATAAATTAAAAATGCTCATAACTCACTTAAAAACTGAATTGTCGTAAAAAACCCACAAACAAACACAGATAATGTATTCTTACCATAAAGTTTCATAATAGGTCAAATCACTCTAATTTTTAAACTAACTGAGTTAACATGATCTGAGCGTAAATTTGCTATGCTACGCACTTGTAAGACGGAGACAACAATTAATGTCCGTGTATAGCGCCCTCTTAATGAAATTAACGGAATTGGTTAATACCTACCTACTGACTACTGTGCCCCCTATAATATTTATCTAATTTCTGTATCGGCAATTTATTTTTTTAGTCAAATTATGAACAACTGGTTAATGAATAATAAAGTAATAAATAAGTAATTTGCATAGGTATATTATTAAGATTAATTGTATTCAACGGTACAATTGTTTCAAAATGTAGTTGTAAGAAAATGTATGATGATTATCTTAACTATAGTTTGAATAATAGTTTATAGCATAGACTATAAGAGAGGAATGTAATTAATTTTCTTATCACAATTGACAGACATAATTTTTTTGGTACTAGGATCACTGAGCCAGGGACTACTTATATTGAAACCATGACCTGATAATACCTACATAGTACATAGTACATTGTAAACCTATAATGCCTTGTCATTGCCACATAGTTAAATGACAAATTATGTTAGAATAATATTTTACAAACAAACCATTTATCGTTAAATAATTCATTTATTAATAAAAAATTAATACTTTTCAATAACAATTTAGTATTATGAAATACTGAATAATATTATAATATAATAACATACAGTTTGATGATGTACTATAAAGCATGTAAGTATTGTATACTTACTACCTAGGTAATACTACAATATACCACAAATGGGCCAAGGTACATACAGTGGCGTCATTTCAGTTTTTATTAGACTAGGGCAACTTTTCACTGCTTCTCAGACTCAGAATTTTTTCACTCAGATTCTCATAGCATAGTGCCATAGTGGTTAAGGGAGGGGGTGGTATTGGTAAATGTGCAGACTTAAGGTTGATGTAAATACTAGACTGGGGCAAATGCCCTAGTTGCCCCACCTCCAAATTACGGCACTGGGTACATAGGTATTATAGATTTCTAGCAGGATGGGCTAATAGGACCTATATATTATTATAATATATTATATATTATATATTATATATTATAATATATGGGTACCTAATTTTACTAAAAAAATAATAATAAAAGGTTCAAAATTGACTATAGGTCACCCATGTATGTATAATATTTTTTAGGTCTAGCCATATCCACATCTATGAAATATACATCCTGAGTCTCATTGGTTTTTTCCATGGCAATAACATATTTTATAATTCATTATTTTTTTAATTATGATTTTTTTAAATCATAACAGTAGGTCATATTAAGATAAGTTTCTTTCAAATTATAAAGTGGCAATATCATAGTTAAATAATTAAAAAATAAAGATGGAAAACTGACTTACTAATTCAATTTCATAATACCTACCTATTCAAAATATGTATTCAATTTTACAATAAATCTAAAATATTATTACAATAATAGGTACTTATGCATTAGTAAATTAAATGTCTTTAAGATGTCAGCGGCTCAGCGCACCATTTGTTTTCTCTCTCTCTCCCCTCTCCGACCCACGAGCAACATAGCAAATTTATGTTTACCACACCAACACTGACCCCTGTGTTGTTACTTTTAATATTAAAGTGAATTCAAATATTATAAAACTTTAAGATTAGAACATACCTGTGTCCCTACGTTGGCTTTTTTACAATATTTTAATTTTTATACAATATATACCTATGCATTTTTAAATTGCAATAATGTACACTTATAAGTCATAACTTACATAAAAATTATATAATATCATAAAATAGTCAACGTAGGGACACAGGTAATGATCTTAACTTAAAGTCGTTTGATAATAACATGAATTCACTCAAATATAAAAGTAATGAAATAAAGTTGGTTCTGCTAAACGTAAATTTCATATGTTGCTCGTGACAAATAGGTCGCTGACATCCTCTTAAACAACCGACATTCAATTATTGTATCTAAGTCCATTAAGATCCATGGTACCATGAATCAGTTGTTATTAAGTGTAAACCAAAGATTGGAATTTGTATTTTAAAAAAATGAGAACCTAAAATAAATTATAAGAATTTTAGGGAAATAAGAAACATCTGTTAACTATATTTACACACTATATTAATGCCGAAGTGATAAAGCAATATGTTATGATTAAAAGTTGTTATTGGTTATTACTGTTTAACAAATTTGGATACTCACTGTTCGACATTTAGATGAAGATTCTGGTTTTTGGCTCATTTTTAAATGTAAATATCAAATACTATATACGACGTATATAGTATTTGATAGAATTACTATATCCTGTGAACTTGACAACTACCACTTTTATTTATTAGTGAAGAAATCTTTGTACTAGTAATTACTAATTTTCTTTATAAAAAGTATTAAGTACGAACATACCGCGGAAGTTGAGGAACGTCTCTCTATTATCATCATATAGAATATAGATAAGATGCCAGCTGTTATTGAATTTCGACCACGATAAAAATATCTTTAATCGTGATAAAAGGTATCAGTGATGTTAATGATACACCTATCATTAACATCACTCAGGCAGAAACTTTAAATGTCTAAGAAAAAATCTCAACTTGCAGCATTAAGTTTGAAATTTCAAATTGTTATAAATCGCTAATTAAGATTTTCATTTGTATTTTGTGGCTTCGTGCTCAGAATATATCTACGTTGGTAATATATTAAAACAATTATTACTTATTGTCTTATTAGAAGTCCATTGTTGAACAACATTTTAAGGTTTTTTACAATTACTGGAAAAATTACAATAGTAAAGTAATAAATTGATGGTACATACTTTTATAAAATATAAAAATATTATATATGAAACTACCATGTAGTATGTATTTAAAAATAGTGTAAAGCAATACTTAAGTACCTAACTAATAACTATCGTTATTATTAATTATCTCATCAAGTTTACCTAAATCCAAGTACCATTTTATTTAATTTCTACAAGACGTGCTGAAGTACTCAATTTAAAAGAGTTATCTTTTAAACTTATATATAATTTGTATTGTCAAAATAACATTTTAATATAAGTTAGTAATATTGTACATTTATAGGAGATGGGGAAAACAGAATATGAGCGGTATTGGTAATAAAATTGAAGGTAATAAATGTATAATTAACATATTAGATACTAATTAATTGAAGTACTGTAGAATAAAATAAATAATAAATTAAAAGCTTTTGTTTTGTATCGGATTTTTTTTATGTTTATACATAGTTACAATTAAAAGTTAAGTATAATTTTATGGTTCAATACATCATAATTCATAATTCATAGTTATTATTCTATGTACACAATATTTACAAAAACTAAATTTACATTCAAAAAACATACTATTTTTGCAGCAATAATTTGTACTTAACAGTTTGCTCCTTAGCAACCATCGGGATACCGACTGTTATGTCTTTATTCAGGCACAGTTTATGATACACATCAGTTTGAACATTCATATTACCTTTGAAGTGCAAACGTAAACGAATTACAAATTCTCCCCATCCATGTCTTGTTAATGAAAATGGTTTTTTAATTACATCTACAATATGGTTGGGTTCGTAGGATTCATGTAAGAAAAATGTCACTTTGTCAATGTAAACCAAATTGTCAACACCTTCTTCTGCATTGCGTACATAAACAGTCCATTTGTATTTCATTTCATTTTCAGAATCACTTATTTTAACAATATTTCCAATAACAAATGTTAATTCAATTAATCCAGTCTTAGGAATAAAGCTTCCAGAAGGCAAAGCATTTTGTGAGACGGTTTTGCTTAGTTGTTCAATGTTGCTCATAGGTTCAGTTTTCACTCGTGTCGATGCATTACTCAGATTTGTCATAAATACACTCAAATCTTTTGCTTCGTCTTCACAATCCAAGTTTTTGAGAAGGGCATCCCTTTGATAGTTTTTATTGCCATCGGTATTATTTTTCATTTTAGCATAATGTAATATTATGATGCTTCTTCTGAGTTTTTTTAAATTGTTGATACAAGTGAAAATATTTTGATCAATTTGATCTAGTGTTCGTTTTGTTTTGACCATTTCATCATCCAAATCTGCTTGCACACCAGCAACTACTTGGGAAATTTGATCTGTACTTAATGTTTTTAAAATTTTTTCAGTTGAATTCATTTTAAATGCAAACAATGTCAATTCACCTATAACAAACAAACAAAATAATCATTTATTTCTTATTTTATAATTTTATATACCTAATTATTATGATTATAAATTAAATATAAATGTTTTAATGAAAAATAATTGAGTCAAAATTTAAATTATAGTTATCCATTATCATAGTATTTTATTAATTATGTGAGCACATTAAAACAATACTAATATACAGTGTACAAATATAATTATTAGTAGGTACCTACAATATAATTTACTATTTTTGGCCTACACAAATTTAAATAAATAAGTATACCTGTATACCTACTCAATTATTGTGCAAGTCAATTCTCAAAGCAGAATTCATACAAATAATAAATGATTAAATATTTAATAATTTATAAATATAAATATTCATTATACTCATGCCTATACCAAACTGTCAACAGTAGTGTTATGACTTATGAGCATTTTTCCTTAGAGCTAGTATTATAGTCGGGAGAATGAAAAGTGGCCGCTGGCGATATGTAAGCAATCTTTTTTTTCTTTGAAAAGCAGGGATGCTAAACATCATTCTATAATACATTTGTATTAGGTGATTATATCTAAATCTAATATTTCAAAATGCACACTCTGCGAAACAATCACAGAAATTCACCACCAGAAGTGGGCGCATCAGCGGCCACTTTTCATTCTCCCAACTATAGTTGTTCGGTGTTCCTGTTAGTCAGCTCATGTCAGGATAGAAAAAATTCATGACTCCAGTATATCACTGTGTATATTATATATAATTATATTTTTAAAAAATATAACTTAAACAAGAATTATTTAGGTACATATATATAATGTTTTTGAACACACTCGATTACCTATATTTAACGAAAACTATCATTTTATTTTCAATAATTTATTAATAGTTTTAATTTTGTATAAATTGAATATAAGACATAAAATAGGTACTCACCTATTTTCTTACTTGAAAATAAAGCACATAAAATAATTAACAGACCTGTAGTGTATTCATTAGTCAAATATGGAGGTTATTAGAATAATTATAATAATAATTAGGTATTATGAATTTGTATTAAACAAATTATCAATTAGGTATTAACTTTTGCAAATCATACTTAAAATAAAATACTAAATAACAACAATAGTATGTATAACAAGACAATAAAATATTACCTATGTAAAAATGTCAATATTCTTCTTTTATATTATCAAAACGTTATGTTATGTTCTAAGTAAGGTATGGCGTCGCGAAAACATAGACTTATTGTAATTTATATTTTGGAGTAACTGTATATTTGTCTTATGGTGAGTCCTGGTCCTTAGACCACATAAAATAACAATATCTATTACGGATGGACTAACTTACTAGTTGCCTACTGTATTAATTCATTTACATTTTACATTATTATTTATTACAGCAATACAGCTACACATTACAAATTTATTAGCTATCTTTAATCTTATCAGTATTATGAAATATTGTGATAATTAATTTACCCGAAATGGGATTGCATGATGTGTTCTAGTTCCATAAGTATCCACTAAGACAGCGCTAGTAATGCTAAAAGGAAAATATCCCTCCGAACTCCGCCTGTTGTACCATAGAACAGTTGTACTACATTAAATTTCGTAACCACAATATTCATCTCGTGTCCAGTCGGCAGTCCTGTATATGGCGGCCACCATAGAATTACAATAGTAATCACGAATCTTTGTGTATATAAAATTGAAAAGTTGTATGGGGCCGTCCCTAGGGCAGGGCAAGCGGGGCCCTCGTCCCAGGCTCCGCGCCTTAACCACAGTTAGACAGGTCTTGTAGGGTTTTATAGATACAATAAAAAAGTCAAGTTTAAGAGCAAAAAAAAAATGTATCATTTATTTTTTATACATTCAATTGTAGTAGTTTTAATACCTATACCTGCCCTTATGTGCTGACGTCAAATTAATGTATCGAATTTTAAACGAGTTAATGATTAAATTTCTATTTTCAATACTGAAAATTATAAAAATAACTATCTTCGAAGCGCTCCACCCCAAAAAAAGTCACCAACTTAGCTATATCTATAGAAAAAAAATTGCTGATACTTAAATGATAGGTTCCTTATAAATTGCATTATTGGAAGCTCAAAAATATTAAAAATACAATATGGTATCAATTATTTTTTGGTCATTTAAAGTACAAATTGTTTGACTTCTTACAAAAGAATTTTCTTTCATAGCTAACATTGGAAATTTCTATAGATTTCTCACAAATGTTCTACCCTAAACAAGAAAAAAACATTTATCAGAAAGTAACATTAATTTTTTACCAGAGTATAAATTTAACATTTTTACGAAATAATATGACTTTCATTGTTAAATTAACGAATTTATATATGTATCAATTTTTGATATTTTGTTGTTATGACACTTGAAATTTTCACCAAATATTAAAATGGTAATTTTCCGTACATAGTAATATTTTCAAACAATTTTGACTTTTTTTTAGCTATTTATAGACATAAGTAGTTTTTTTAAATTTTGTAAATTATTCTTAAGTTAGAAAAGTTTTTCTTTTCATATAGCTATGGTTAAACATTTTGACAAAAGACTTCACATAAATGTTTCTACTTTTAACAAAAAAAAAAAAAGTTTACTTAAATGGAACATTAATTTTTTATGAGTGTTTGAACTTATTATAAGTTTTAATAGTTTTATGATATTTGATATTCAGCAGTAAATTATTGAATTCCCATTAATCAATTTTTGATATTTTGTTGTATTTCCAAAACGAATAGCCCTACGTATAGCTCTTGAAAAGTTCACCAAAGATTTATATTAGCATTTTCCATGTATGGTAAAATTTTAAACTACTTGGACTCTTTTTGAGCTTTTTATAGCCTTGATCATTTTTTCAATTTTGTAAATTATTTTCCAGTTAGAAATTCTTAAAAGTTTTTCTTTCATAGCTAACATAAGAAATTTTAATAGAAGGTTCCCATCAAGTTTTTGTACTTCTATCAAAAAGAAAAGTTCACCGGAAATTCACGCTATTTATATCCATGGGATATTTTTGACCTTTGATAATTTTTTTTAACTATTAAATTTGATTATTTATATACAAGGTTGTACAACGTCTCCTTTCAGAATCTATTTTCGTTTAAAATGATGTATTATTGAATACAAATATACCTAACACATTCATTACAACGACAACTACCATACAGCAGAGTGGTACCCACTTGTCCTCCTTTATTTATATTGTATTGGGTACCCTTTATTTTGACTTATTCAATTATCAATATATTATCAGTGCCGTTCCCAGGTTTTGCGAGGTCCTGGGTATCATTACAATTCGAGGCCCTGTATTTACAATATTATATCGAAATCTATAGCTATACTAGAATAGTGGTCCTCAGTCTTTTTATAGGTAACCTAGTCGAGTACCACCTGACCATTACGAAAATGTCCATGTACTTGACCTAATAACCTTCTTTTGTTATCAAAAAATGTATACCTTATTTACATGTAAAAGGTTGTTTAGGGATTATATAAATTTATAAAATTTATATCAAAAGTAAAAATTTCCCAGTAGTTTTCAAAAGCGCGATGAAAAACAAAAGAAAAATTAAGGAAAAAAAGGAATTTTTACACAAAATCTGTTTTCGAGAAAATTGATTTTGGTTTTTGGTGCAACTCTTAAACAAATGACCGTAGGTACCTACATGACTTTTGAATTTTGACTGAATGTTTATTTTAGCATTGTAACGATTCGCAGTTTACTGACTCGTCATTTATGTCGCACTCGGCGAATTTGCTTAGGTAAACAGAAAACAGGAACGTAGAGTACGAGCATATATATTATTGGCATAGCAGCCAGTCGAGTTTGATCCGTGAAATAGAGACTATACATCAGTCTACTATAGTCATATTTACAATATTATTAAACGTAATTAATTGATTAACTTTAAGTATATAATAACGTACCTAATAGTTAAATTATAATAATTCAGTATTGTTCAACTCGTAGGTACTCCGCTACTCCTGTTATCTTCAATATACTACCCTTAAGAACAGGGTTACTCAGGTGATAGTGTATTTTATTGGTTATAATATTATAATTACTTTAGTCTTGAATAAAACATTGTATTCGTTGCTATATCGTGTTAATTGTGTTAGTTTATGAACGCAGGTCATAAGTTTCTAGGACCTGTAAAATATAACTCAGATTTCAGAAAACTTTATTTATATCAATTCAACAATCCGGATCTAAGGACCGGTTCGTGTAGTGGGAATAGCCAACCAACTACTCCTTAACTGGATAGAGTTAGGTATAAATATCGACAGCCACTGGGTTTGACAAACCGAGGAGGTGTGTTGCAGCATTTTCTATACACCATAACATTTTCCAAATATTTTGAGCTCTTTACGGACATTTTCAGTTTCTACTTTTTTTAGTTTTTTTTCCTATAAATATCAATAAAATTTTATTTATTGTTTAAAAAAGCTTGAAAATTTAATAGAAGGCTCCTAGTATATTGTTTCAAATACAGATGAAAAAAAATTGAAAATCCAGTCGCAATATTTTTTTATAAGCATTTAAAGTTCAACTATTGACAAAATTTATCAAATTTAAAATTTAATAATTATTTTGTAGTTAGAAATGTATAAATTGTTCAACTTTTATACCTAAGGATTGAAAATTTTAAACTAGGTTCCACGTAAATAGGTTGTATATAAATTACTTTATTCACAATAATATCATCAAATATACTTAGTAATATCGTAGGCTGACTGACCGTTTTCGCTCAGAATCGTTTTTCTTATACAATGATATTATATCATTGAATTAAAATTTAACACCATCCATTACAGTGACCCACTTGTAACCTACTGTACAGCGACCATCCATTTGCTCACCCTTTTATTTATAAATTTCTGTGTAAACAATATTGTTATTATCTCGTTGTTCTCATAGAAAAATTCGTAATGATTCATAATATCGAACTCGTGAAAAGGCAAAGTATAATTGACCATGATTGAATACATCTCTCCCAAAGCCCAATCCTATTTTCTCGAAAGTCGGTCCCTGACTTTTATTTATGGTCATTGCAAAAGCTAATATTACAGGAAATTGTCATCGCTTAAAAGTAAATAGATAAAATATAACCATCACAGGTACGGTGTATGAATGTAATATCTCCCAGCTTTGTCACCAGCTAACATTCGACACCTAGAAGATTATATAGCAAATGCGATATTTGAAGCCCCGTGCCATTGCAAAGACTTAGGGCAAAATTTAGATTGCGAAGTAACATTACAATACAATTATTTATTAACTTCAATTCATATGATGGAAAGTTTGGCGGATTCAAATATTCAAGCAATAAAACCTCAGTAATATTTCCATTATTGCAGTTTTCTGTACTATCCATACCAGAATAGAAAGTTTACTTTTTACTAAAGGATCGTTTGCCATTGACATCAAGTACAATTTGTAATTGTATTTGAATTTAATTAGGCTTCAAATTATTGCTTCATTAAATAAATCGAGACTGCGCGTGTTTATATATGCTTGACAAGTGACAACGGTAAAATAACAAATTGCTTGACAACGAAAAGAGTCCAGATGAGAGAAAGTGTACTTTTTATTAAAGGATAAACATTGATATTATCCGAGACATATTTAAATTTTAAGTAGTTGCTAAAATGTTTTGAAATATTTTATTTACACGATATATTATATTATTGTATATTATACGCGAGGACCTGGACGTGTGCCCCGTTCGCCCTGCCCTCGGGACGGCACTGATTATTATATTAAGTTTAAATATATGACGTGTTGTTAATAATTAATTTACTTATTCATATTATTGTAGGTACAATCTACTATATTTTTAAGTCATTTGCTCGTTGCCCATTTATTCTTAGGTAAGTATATATCATAATATGCCATAACTGCCAACCGACGATAATGACATTTTAGACCTAGCAAATTGTCAGGATAGTCCTGGACTTGTATCACGGTCTAAATATATATACCTACCAAGATTATCTTCTAAGACCGTGAGTTGTATGTATATATCTGATATCACTATATAAGCAGCTATACTGCTCACACCAACGATTTAAGATAAAATCGTGCTCAGTGCTCACACCATGAAAACCATGAAAAAATTAAACAAAAAGGTTGCTATCCACGAATTAACATACCTATCTATAAACCAGTATGGCTCACTGGCCGAATTTAATATTTTAATTTTCTGAACTGTACCTAGTTCATAACTTCTACAGTGATATTTTAATTTATAGCGGTAACCATCGCCATCCGATAATCTGTAAATGGAATTCACTGATAAATAATATATTTTAACAAATAGGTACATTTATTAACTAATAAGTCACACACTAAGATAGTTCACTCTCAATGCTTAGGTATCTATCTTATTTTAACATCTTGAAATTTCAATGTACTTACCATGAAACTTGAATATTAAATAAACCATTTTTTTTTTAATACCTGCCTTTTTGACGTCCATGTCTATTTGTCCTAGATCCACCTACCAGTGGTATCTTCAGATACTTCAATGAACAGTCTTAAAAATTGGATGGGCGGTCGCTGGGTAAAATAATAGAGTATATACCTACTTCCTAGTCTGCCTGCTATAATTTTATTAAACACAGGAATGTCATTAAATTATTTATATATAATTAGTTAAGCCGGTTTCTCAGTCGTTTGAATAATGGGTCAATCGAACAATTTATTTGAACTGCCGGTTTTAATTTAATTTGGCGCACTGATATAATGTACCTTTGCAATATGCCTAACCACCAACCTGGCACTCAAGGCAAAATTCAATACACCTTGAAACAAACAATGATTACCTAATGTACATAACGTCATTGATTATATTATATAGTCAATATATAATTAATGGTAACGTGTTTATTACCTATACCTACATATTATAAGTTTGGATAGTATGTATTTAAGTATATTGTATATTTGTATGTAACTATAATATTATTATATATTTATATACATGTTTTATTAACATTATTATTATTAACTGCACATATACACGCAAACATAGTTATTATAATATATGGAAACATAATACTGCAGCAAAGCTGTACACAAGGTGATTCTTTTAAAGGTAAACACTCATTTTCTTGAAAAATACTATTGTTAGGTTTTTTTTTTACATATTTTGAAGGAATTACAAAACAAGTTTTAAAAAAATTATACTTTTCTCTATTATTTATGATGACCTACATAATATTTTTTACTTTTTTGAACGACAGCATAGGTATAGGTAAATTTTTTATTTCAGATTCTGAAATTGAATATATTATTCATTCTGAGATTTTCAACAGAATTTCAACGTAATTAGTTACAAGTTATAACTTAAGTTAGTTGTGCTGTTTACCTGGTATATAAATATATTGTTTCTGAACTTAAATAGATACCTTCTTTAAAGTATAAATGAACCCATTAGCGCCGAAATTTTTTTAAATTTTTTTATTGGTCAAATTTCCAATGAGAAATTAGCTTCTAAAAATAGGTCTACCTATGTTGCCATATGGCAACGCACGGCGCTAATGGGTTAAGAGCCACAAAGTCAATTAAAACTTTACTCTTTAGAAAAGCTATGTGAAAATGGTTATGCTATCCCATAGACCAGGGGTCTCCGACCTATGGCCCGTTGGCCGAATCTCGCAGTTTTTTCACTGGCCCGCCAAGCTAATTAATGTTTTGAAAATAATATATATTCTTTATATTGTTTTCATTTAGTTTTTATTGTTTTTTATTTATTGAATTAATTAAAAAAAATGTATTATTTTTTTTTCTTTTGAAGTTATTCGTAACATTCGTAACAGCTTATAATAGTCATTCATACCTAATACGTACTAAGTACCTGTTAACACTAACTTATAATAGAAAAACTCTGTATAAAATAAAAAAAGTATATAAACAAACATTCATTTTCCTAAATCAATATTATCTAGGTATTTTTCAATTTCTTAACTGATCTATCCCTCTAAAAATGTTGGCTCGTGATGGCCAAAGCGTATCTCAATTTTGGCCTGCCATAAAAAAGGTTGGAGACCCCTAAACCTATAAACTAAGTTGACCTATCTTTGTCGGTTCTGAATAGGGGGGAGAGCAGGCCGCAGGGGGACTCAGTTATATTATTTATATAAAAACAAAAACATAAATTGTATTATAATTGATACTCATTTGTTAAATTAGAATAATTATGATTGGATTATGATATTATACTATTATTATGTTTTCTAGAGTTGAAAGGCGATAGCAAAGTATAAGTACATAAATACAATAGTTAACCACGGAAAATTTTAGAATGGTTTAAAAATTATAAAATAAAACGATCTTAAACTTTAATTAAGCAAAAAAATTAATCATTTTTATAGTAAGTTATATAAAGAAAACATAAATTAGAAACTGTTTAAACAAATGTCTATTAATCATTATATATTCTGTATCATATTGAAAGAATTTAAATTTTCAAAGAATAAATTAATAATATTGAATATCGACCATATTTTTTAAAGCTTTTCTCACTGCATCCAACTTGGTTTCAACATTATTTCTATCCTTTTGAAAAGTTTCATCTTCTAAAAGCACTTCATCAATTTTCTTTTCAATTAAATAGGTTTGGAATATTTCTTCATTTAAACGCTTATCAAGGACTTTTAAAAACGAATTAATCATTTTGTGTTTAATTCTTTTAGGCACAAAGTCCCGCACAATTTTCCTGATGTACTCAAAATAACATTGACTTAAATCTCTATGTAATTTTACCTGTTCAGATGATTCCAAGGATACGTCCTGGTTATTAAGACCTGATAATAATTGATTCAACATTTGTATTCTATTAATTTCTATTTTTTTGAGTTGGGCCATTTTATCAGGAATTGGCTGGGGAATCGACTGTCCAAATGTGAAACAAGGCTGGCTAAAAAGATTATCTGATATATCTTCTTTAACGCAATTACTTATATTTGCTGCAGCAAGAATTTCTTCTTGAATTGTATTATTCGATTTTACTATTTCCAATATAAAATCTGGATTTGCTGTGTTCAAACATTCCTGATAAGATTCTATGTATGAAGCAATAAAATCTTTGATATTTTTCACATTTTCTTCCAGCAATTTTTCAAATACTTTTCGTACCTAAAATCATAAAATTGTTATTTTATTACTTAATTAAATACTAGTGTCACAAAATAAATTTTGTTTCAGGAATGGCTACCTACTATATTATTTGATACACTACCTCTACATTCATTATTAGTATGCAAAAAACTTCTGCGTAGAGCATGGATTTTTATGCACTAAAAAGTGTCAAAATATAAAATATAATACTGATTTTAAAATATGCCGTATTATAATATGCAGACAAAATCATGAAATATGCAAGAAAAAAACATAGTAATATGGTAAAACATTCATGGATTAATAGTTTATAAATTAATGACTCAAAAATAATTTAAAACAAATTAAATAACTTATAATTATAATAATAGGCACCTACTTCATAAGTAAATTTATTATTTATTATTTTATTGTAATTTATAATTTAATATTATTAAAATTAACAATCACTTAGTGCCTAAAATAAGTATTATTAAATTTTATGCTTGACAAAATACTATTTTATACATTTGGAATTTTGTTATATGAAAATACAAAATAAAAATCGCCTTTAGCTTCAAACTACTAGAATTTGTAAAGATTACTGACTAAAATCCTAAAATTTTGAAAATGAAAAAATATAAAATTGCAAAAAAATCCGTGCTCTACTTATGTTTTTAGTAAGCCACTAATGAACAAACACCTAGTATAATCAATACAAAATTAATAAATTGAGGCTAAACTTACATCTTCATTCAATTGTGGGTATCGCCTAAGTGTTTCCAACAATCTGGCATCAATGGAATTTAATATGTTTAACATCTCACTGCGGACCAATTCTACGCAATCCAACGACGGCTCGATTAAGTTCTTTAATTGGCGGCTTAAAATCTTTTGTAACGCCTTTTCGTTGACAAAAGTACTTTGGTTAGTGCCTGATGTATTTAATAAGACTTTTGCAATATTTTCGTTTGATAAATCTTGTAGCGGTTCTATGGCATTTATTGTTTTTAAATATTTTTGATGGATTATTCTAGCAATACTGGCACCACCAACAATTTGGTCGACCGAAACATCGTTTTGATTTCCATTCATAGTGTCTTCATAAGATTTGCTAATATCTTTTAAAAGTCCTATTAAAAACGATATTTTGTTATCTGGTGTATGTAGTACTAAAAGTTTTTTTCCCAATTTATTTTTCATTTCTTCAAGTTCAATTTTAAGTTTTGGATATACTTTTTTAATATGTGTTATCAATACTAACTGTAATGTATGAGCTAACGCTTTGTTTCCGTGTTTTGTATATATATCTGGATAGTTAGTTTTTAAAAATTCTGTTTCTGATGTTAGCGTGGCGTCCATTGATTTATTTTCAACAATGTCTTTTTGACTTCTATTCACAACTCCTATGATACCTAGTTTCACTGGAATCCTTTGACCGCAGAGTAAATCCTTTGTGTCTTGTAGTGTTCCTTCATCGATTAGGTCCAATTTTGTAACCACTGCTATAGTTCTGATACCATCTGGGTCCAATTTCTTTGCTATTTGAAGACTTTCACTTGTTGAAGGGTCTGTATTTGCAGTCACCACTGCTAAAATTATTGAGTTGGATTGCTTTACATATGAAAGAATCAATTTCTGAATTTGTTCATCTATATCATCAGGTTGGTCTCCAACCGCCACTTTTGTTATACCTGGTAAATCTACAAAAGTCAGATCATAACGATTGGTGTGAATTCTTAATACAATTTGCTTGTTAGTTATGCCCTTATTATATCCTGCAAGATTGTTCGTTTCACATTCAATTTCATTGCGTACCATATCAAAATCAAAATAAAATATATTTGGCTTATGTAGAAACTCTACCCATTCTGTTATGCTTTCACTGTCTTCAGTGTTATTTGACTTCAACATCGATTTTCTTGTTTCCTCAGTGTATCTTATCATTTGTATAACTAATGGCGCTCTGGTAACTACACCAGTTCCTCGAGGTAAAAATGATTTTCCCACTAGGCTTTCCAGAACGGAACTTTTTCCAGAGCTTTGAGTTCCTACTACCACAATTTGCGGTAAGTTTACAATTTGTGGTAAATCAGTAAGTTGCTGTTCACCAAACACGGAAAAAACATCCTGAAGTTTATTTACAATTCGTATAAGTGACTCCATAGTTAATTCACACTGTCAACCTAATTTTATAAAAAATAAAACAAAATTATTAGAATTGCAACTATATTAGGAGCTGTTAACTGATATAGTATTTTAAAGATATAATATATATGGTATTTAAAAATGTGAACTGATATAATTAGATTATGATTAATTAAAATTAGTTACTTTCAAAGTGATTTAATTGGATAACATAATTTAGATACATGGTGTATAAAAGAGGTTGCTATGAAAAAGTTTTTTTTTTAAATTATATTTTTTCTGAACTGATAAAAAGTTTATTAAAGCAATAACTAATAATCAAATATGTACACATTTAGTATCAAATATAATATTATAGTATACAATTTTTTAATTATGACTAATAATTGGACCCCAAGCATCCCTTAAGGTATCACAATCAAAATTTGTTTAGACGTTTCTTATATTTATTGTCAGGCGTTAAAGTTAGCTGCTGTAGTTTAAAATTTCAATATAATATAGTTGTTTCTTTAAGTGTTGATGTTCTGTTGAATTTTAACACATGTGTAATAGAGAAATTTATATGTGTTTTCATTCCAATTAATCATTTGATCTTATGGAATGATATGAAACCTGAAAATTTGAGATTTTAATTTATTGTAAGGTCTTTTGTTTTGAACTTAACCTAAAATTGTAATACGACAATTTAATAACTTGATTTTAGAATTTAGTGAGATAAAATCAAATTTGGAAGGTCAATCTCAAATATACTTTAAAACAAATTCACACCAGGACCAGGTTATAACAATTTCACCGTTTCACTAGATCAGTTGATACTTTGGAATGAAAACATGTCAAAACATTAAATTACTTGTGCCTAAGAGAAACAAAAGTCATTGCTTCCAACCCTCCTTCCTCCACTATTTATAAAATATTTTATTTTACATTTTGAGCTCATTTGTCCAACACCACCACACCAGCCTTTTATTAGGTAATTCATGCACAACATTTCTTGACCCAAGAAAAAGGTTTATCTAAATCCTAGTATTTCCATACATAAAAAAAACACATCACAATATTGTAGAGATAATATGATAAGGTTTAAGGTTAGTTAATTAATATGTGTTTTCATTCCAATTAATCATTTGATCTTATGGAATGATATGAAACCTGAAAATTTGAGATTTTAATTTATTGTAAGGTCTTTTGTTTTGAACTTAACCTAAAATTGTAATACGACAATTTAATAACTTGATTTTAGAATTTAGTGAGATAAAATCAAATTTGGAAGGTCAATCTCAAATATACTTTAAAACAAATTCACACCAGGACCAGGTTATAACAATTTCACCGTTTCACTAGATCAGTTGATACTTTGGAATGAAAACATGTCAAAACATTAAATTACTTGTGCCTAAGAGAAACAAAAGTCATTGCTTCCAACCCTCCTTCCTCCACTATTTATAAAATATTTTATTTTACATTTTGAGCTCATTTGTCCAACACCACCACACCAGCCTTTTATTAGGTAATTCATGCACAACATTTCTTGACCCAAGAAAAAGGTTTATCTAAATCCTAGTATTTCCATACATAAAAAAAACACATCACAATATTGTAGAGATAATATGATAAGGTTTAAGGTTAGTTCATAATTAAAAATTATAGTTCAATGTTTTTCCAAGAAAAATAATCATTAAATATTACTGGTTTACTTTACCTGGTTTTAAAAAATGGGTCTTTTTCAATGACACTCCAAATAAAAATGTATTTTTTTTTCACTTAATATTGAAGTATACTATTTGTCTGGATATAAATACTGGAGTTCAAGATCAAACTAAAACAGATATTGTTACATAGATTTTTAAGTATAATTTTAAGCAAACTATTCTTTAAAAATATATTAAGTATAATTTTTATTTTATATAGCCGAGTTGGTTTCACAACACTCAATTTCTTCAAAATTGGACCTAATGTTACTATAATTAGTAAGTGATGGTTTCCCTTAACTCTGCATTATGGAATTGCTAAGGAAGTACCTACTAAGTTTGAACTGGCAATAGTCCTTTACAACATTGATACGCCACTATAAAAATAATTTTTATTTTTAAAGAAGGTGTTCTGATGTACAGTAGATTACAAGTGGGTCACTGTATAATAGATGGTATTAAATTTGAATTCAATGACATAATATCATTGTATAAGAAAAACGATTCCCAGCGGAGACGGTATGTCAGTCTAGGTATAAGACATATTATATACATATCTATCATATTAAAAAAAATTGACCTGTAATGAGTACCTTAAAAAATTCCACAATATCCATTAGGTACTTGTAACGTATACATCAATAACAAACAGTGATGCTATCATAGATATATTGTAGTATACTTAAGAAGTTTCAAGTTCCTACAAATAATATTATATTATTATACAATCACAACAAAATAACTAAAATAGTTATTCTAGGTTTTTTAATATCTAATTTTGTCCAAATTTTAACTTAAAATGACTATAAAAATAAACTGTGCTTATGTATTTTTTAGATTTTTTGGAAACAGAATTAACTGCATAAGTGGAATCTTGTTTTAAATTTTCAATCCTTAGATATAAAAGTTGAACATTTTATACATTTTGAACTACCAAATAATTATTCAATTTTAAATTTGATAAATTTTGTCGAAATTCAATCTTTAGATGCTTATAAAAAAAAAATTGTGCCTGTGCATTTTTAATATTTTTCAACTGCTATTGTAACAATATATCAGGAGCCTTGTATTCAATTTTTACACTTTTTGGCCCAATAAATAAAACTTAATTGACATTCATAGAAAAAAAAATATAAAAATATAAACAACTAGTGAAAATTGCATGTATCTGCAGTGAGTTGTTTTTAAGTTACACCAAAAGCCAAAATCGATTTTGTCAAAAACCGATTTTGCGTAAAAATTCCCATTTTTCCTTATTTTTATTTTGTTTTTCCGGGTACTTTTGAAGACTATTGGGAATTTTAAATTTTGACCTCCCAAAAGTACCAACTAGATTCACTTTCCCATCGAACAAGATACTGAAGTTGAAAATCGAAGCATTATTTTGACTATTAATTGTGTACACAGACACAAAAAACTAAATTAAAAAACGCACATCATTGGAAAATCAATACATTCATTGTTTTACTCAGAATCTAAAATTGATAGTCTATAGTTCATAAGTTAAAACAAAATTTAGTAATTTAGAATATTATTTAGTCAATGACAGGTTTTTTTTATATTTTAATTTCAAGCGAGTTATGAGCATTTTAATTTAATAAATTGTTTATACATTTTAAAATGATCATAAATCACTTATAAATTAAAATAAAAAAAAAAAAGTCATTGACCAGGTAGGTAATATTTTTATTTTTTATAATTAACAGTCTTTTAAATTTTTTTTATAATAAATTGTAAATATAAAATATAAAATAAATATAATATATATATTCTTATCTTAAAAAAACGCAACAAAAATAAATATTAATTAAATATATTTTATATATTATTATAAAAATAGTGGCGTTTTAATTCATTCCTGATAGATCTATAATTTTTTCTAACTATTAACAAAGCACTAGTTGAAATTAATTTTAAATGTCCGAGTCATAAAAGTCCCCACACATTGCAGTGGTAGCGGTAGGGTGGAACCACAGAGAGAAAAAAAGTTACCTCTTTCATCGCTTCAGTGTGTAGCAACCTTAATCAGTATTGAATAATTTAAATATTTATTTTCCCATTTGGCAATGGGCCCTCAATATTGAAAAATATTGAAATAACCCAGGGCCCCAATCCGGGTAGTCGGTCAGGCAGTCATCGATTATGATTTATGACAAGTAGCAATAATTAATCATTGACCCTTGTGTAAATATTAGTTACATCATATTATTTATTTTACAATGAGCAAAATTTTACATTATAAGTTATAATAAGCTATATAAAGTATAAATTTTATTAAAAACAGATAGGTATTATTATAAATTAAATAGTTATTCTACATTACCTCTGAAAGAATTTATTATTCTATCATAAAATCTTCACTATTCATATGTTCCGTAACCACGTCCATATAGATTTCTTCTGAAAAATTACCTAGCTAATTCGAAATAGAAATTAAAAAAGATATAGGATATATCAGATATCTACCTAAGCAGTAGGCACTTAATATATTATATATTGGAAATTTTAATAAGTATTTAATAAATGTACCTACTTACCAATAATACAGCAATGCCGATTTCACAGTTAAAATGATTGAATTTCCTCAAAGTGAGTATATACTATATTATAAAAAAAAATATATCATGTTAACGTCACCCTTGAAAAAAAAAAATAATGAACATAACCTCTTATTCAGTTAATCAGTTATGGTTATGCCCACCGACAATTTTAATTTTCATATTATACAACATACAGACTTTAGAATTACAGACTTGTTTACGGCAAGTCGGCAAATGCCAAATGGCAAATAGCAGATAGCTATTGGCTAATGGCTATTGCTTATTGTCATAATCAGACATCAGTAATCACTAATCCCTACTCACTCAAATTCAAATATCACAATAATTATAATAAGGCTGCAGACAAGTATAAATAACGTGGCGTTGGAAAAACCACAATATTCGATACCTAATACATTGCCTCTTGGTCATCGCCCATCGGTAAACAGCACAGATATATAAACATATTTTTATATATCTGTCGTAACTCGTAAACAGTCTAACGAATAAAAATAAAATCAAGTAATAAGTAATTAAGTACTAACCCACATGGCCACATAACTATTTTTAAAAACTGGGGAACTATTTTTTTTATAACTGCTGCCTGCTATAATCCTGCCCTCCTGTTCGGTCCTCACTATGATCAAATATTGTAAATGATTAATAATACCATTGTTTATAGAATTTAATTCTATCATCAATAATAATCCTGTTATATTTGTCACGATACTCATGCCTGTATCCGTGCATGGCGGATGGTTATTGCTTTGTATCGTTGTATACAGGTTTT